GAGTTTCATAGCAGCTCTTAGAAAAAGATTCTGTAGTGTGACTGATGCCACGGTATCTGTGTTAGTCTGTGTAATGTGCATGTAGTAATTATATAGTGTGAGTTTATATGTTTATATTATGCTTTCAGATACTAAAAATAATGTATATCCAAAGTTAACATACAAGCACTTAACTTCCTTAGTTCTTGCAGTGGACTTTGGGCGAGTCTTCTTGGGTTGGCACTTATTTTTATGATATCTGAGGAAGATCAGAAGGCCACTTAACAAGTACCAGAGTCTCTACAGTTTGTTCCTTATTCTGTGCCTGAGACTGTGTGATTTTCCCCTGGGTAGCTGAGTCTGACTGTGGAGGGATCCTAGCCTTGAGCACCACTCTTTTGCCAGAGGACCCCACACTCCCTCCCACCTCCTAGAGGGAAGGGACATGCATTTTCTGTTCCTTTGGATTTCTAGGTTGTCTTTTTAAGGGTTGTAAGCTTTGGAAAATGTTGATTGTTAAGCTCACCATTTCCACGCTTCCTATCTGATTTTGCTCACTGATAGCCTGGTTGCCTACAGCTGGAGTCCCTCTGGAGGCTTGTCCTGCAGTGGGGATGTTGCAGCGCTCCTCTTTCCCCGGGTGGAGTCACACACACTGGAGCGGCTCTGCGCCCGTTCCTTGCCTGTCCTTTCAGTTTGGACTCTGCCATCCTTTTTTGTTTCTCCTGAGGGAACACCTGCAGCTTACAGCTGCACTCTGGGCATCTGTGACTGCTGACTGCTGACGCTGCTCAAGCAAGGCACCTGAGCGAGCTGGAGCCTTCGGGGAGGGTGGATGTGCGCTGCGAGCTATCTTGGCACCTGGGGTTCTCGCCTGGGTCTCTTGCTTGTCACAGCAATGGGGTGACATGCCTGGCCATGTGCCCGTTGTTGCCTCAATGACCTTTCTGCTGCAGCTGCTCACAGGAGGTGATGCCAGGGCTATGTGTTGGCGCAGCTCAGGCGCTGGCTCTGTTTCCGGCGCTGGCAGGACTGTATTAACTGCTCAGCTGATAAAGCCAAAGGTGATCATACAGTTCACTTTTCAGAAATCACCCTGCGCATGTACCATGTGCCAGGCATCTGATGACTTGCATGCCACCTCATCTTGACTTCCCTCAACCCTGGGTGGTGTCCATGCTGACAGGGATTAGGACCCCCCAGGTGCTAGTACCCTCATTGTGCATTCGAGGAAATGGAGGCTCAGGGACTCTCTCCTATTTTTAACTCATCGACAATGAGGTTTATATGGTGGGTTGCACTTAGCGTAGCAGGTAGTATTAAAGGTGCTGTGGTAAGACTGAGTACCTGTGTTCATGCTGATTATTTCTTTGTAGAGAGGGAACACTTAGACTGAGACCAGGCATGGTGGCACACGCCTGTAATCCCAGCACTTGGGAGGCTGAGGCAAGAGGATTGCTGCAAGTTCAAAGGCAGTCTGAACTGATAAGTTCAGCTTTTGAACTTAAGAAGTTTCCACATGATCAAGTTTTTTGGTAGAAGATCCAATTTTGGGCCAGTAGGGATGTTTTCAAGTTAGTCTGTTGCAGACACTGGTGCCCCAGGGTATTGTACTGCTCCCTAGGTTGGGGCATAACATGATTTTTGGGCATCTATGACAAGAAACTGGAGAAATGTAACAGTTTCTTTCAGAGCCTGGAGCGAATCAGCAGTGACCTGTCTTTATTTGACTTGACTCCTAAAAGGGATACCCCTCCCCCCACTCCATTTGCTATCTTAGGCCTTTGGGTGGGGATTTTCACAGCTGAGGTTCAGGCCTCTTGTGTGGTTTCTTGCCTGGGACAGCAGCTTCCAAAGTGAATTGTATTCAGCCTCCCACAGAATCCAGTCTTTGTCAGAAGTCTTCTCCCAGCCCTCCCTCCAGTGCCTGGTGTTGCAAGATTGGCTTCTTCATCAGATTATTTTTAATTACCAGCCTCTGATACAATCTCAAGGCGAGCTCAGCAAGGAGCAGGCTTTGTAGAGGTTCTCTGACGCCCTTGTTGTGTCTAGGAGTCTGTCTTCTGCCTGTAGCCAGAAAAGATGGAAACAGGTTTGGGGCTTTGGGTGCTGTTTGTTACACCAGGCTTTGGAGTCCCAGGAGAAATGCACTGATTTGGCATAGAAGTTGGACGTGTCTGAAATGTGTTCGAAACAGCATGGTTTTCAGTGTGGTTCCTTGGATTTTTGTAATTACCCAGTAGGGTTTATTGTGGCAGTGATTGATCTTCCAAGGCTGGTGAATCTGAAGAACATGCCTTGCTTCCTTTTGACCAGTCCTGTAACCTTCATTGGTTTGGACTCTATTTTGCATGGTTCCCTTCATTTATGTTTATGTGCGTGGTGGTAAATTTAAGTTGTATAACTCTGAATAAAAAGTTAAATGTGATTAATACGGATTAATATGCCTTTAACTCGAATAGTAATGAATAGTGTGCTTAGATTAATGGATTTGCAAAGTAAAAAGTGGCCTCATTTTCCCAGCACTTTATAGTCATATAAAGATGGTAGTTGACTGAAACAAACTTATAAACTGATTTTAAATGGATAGTTAAAATGACTTTTTAATTTTTGTTTCTTCATTACTGGGTTCTGAACACAGACCTCTATGCTGAGCTGTATGGCTCATTGTTGTTGTTGTTGTCTTGGTGTTTTTGAAGGCAGGCGCTGACTAAGCCGTTAAGTTCTCGGCCTGGTTTGGACTTTTGGTCCTCCCCCCTCGGCCTCCTGAAGGGTTGGGCTTATAGGAGATGTTTTTAAAATGAATATTTATTGTGCATTTTGGTGTCATAATCTAGCGCTGTCTGTATCTCATTTTATGAGCTATCCCTCATTAGCAAAAAGCGCACAAGCCATTGTCTGCCTTTTGCTGTTTGTCCGTCTGTCCCTGGTGATACCTCATTCTGTGAATGACTGTCCTGTGGAAGGATGGCCTCATGGAACCTTTCGTGTCATCTTGGGCACGGGAAACTCGCTTGGCTCTCTTCTTGTGGTTCCGATGTGAGATGGCTCAAGAGGGGTTTTAGGAAAGGAAGAATTAAAACAGCATTTTAAGGAGACACTGAGAAACAAACAGCTGAGCACACTGTGCCCAGATGGTGAGGTTCTTGTCATCTTTGACTGCTGACCCTGCCAGCACTGCTGTGGACACCGCACTTGTCGGATGCTCGTCCACCTTACCCCTCCCGTCTCCGCCCCTCCCCACTTGTTTTGGGGAGCCCTGTACACCAGGCTGGGCAGGTAGGTCCCAGCCAGACAGAGTCCTGGCTGTGAGTTTGCTCCTTGTTCAGTGTCCAAACTGCATGAACCCTGGTGGGGCTGGCAGCTGCTGGGTTGTGGAGAAGATGGGTGGAGCCCTTGCCCAATTCCCCTGGACTGGAGAGGGTTCTCCCACCTCCCCGGCTGGCCCATTCCTATCCGTGTCTCCTGGCTTTGCCAGGGCAGCTTTCTTTTCACACGCAGGGTTTGTTGTGCTGCTTTTCAGTTTCAGTTCTAGCCAACCATCTGCTGCCTGCTGCTGTTTCTCTGGCTGAATGAGGAGGGGGTCTGGTGGTGGTAGCAGTGGTGTGCATGTGAGAGCCAGGTGTCTCAAGCAGCCCAGCAGATTCATTTTTGCAGGTGACTAAGAGGAGACTGGAACTCAGAAGCTGGTTCGTTATTACTCTGAAGGGAGGTGAAATACTACATAATAAGCATTCATCGTTAACTGGTTAGCAGATTATTTCTGATGGGTGGGCATTCATAATTAGACAGTGAGGGACAATTAGTGGCGCTGTATAAGCCTTTATAAGACATGTAACAGTCATCTGGTTAAGCATAAAGCTAGAGGAAGCTTTCATGAAATCTATAAACTTCATCCTGAAATTTTTGCAAGAAGAATGATTTCCCCTTAGTGTTTTGGGGGGATTCAATTTAAGCTGCTTAATATCTGGGAGCTATTTTGGCAAGTGACTCAATCTGATCCCTGTGTTTCTAGAGGCTGTTCGGATGCTTCAGTCATGTTAGAAAGGCTGTGGTCAGTCTTGGCTGTAAAGCACCGTGGTTGCTGATCCTGAGGTGTGGCCATTCTGTTCTCACTATGTGTGGGTGTCTGTGAAGGGGCTACCATGCGATCTCTTAGGGGACCGGGTGCCAGGGTTTCTTTGGCTGAGGTAGGGGCGTCATTATCTAGAGACATTTGAGGTTCAGTCCAGCGCGGTGCCCTGTGAGCCTCTGTCCACTGCATTTATTGGAATGTGTGTTCCATGCTTGGAGTACCAGTGGACAGCATGAAACAGAAGGCTCAGAGTTCAGAGTGTGTGAACACATTGGCCTGAAATGTGACCCGGAACCAGTGTAGCCGGAAGCGAGGAGGAGAGACAGGCAAAATGCACAGCTGACTTTCCTTACCCAGGTGACCCCATCTCACTTAACCTGCTTCTCCTCAGCTTGCCTCCCGTTAACACCCAGAGGCTAGGGGTTGGCTTGCCCTGCCCTGCTCAGTGGGGCTTTGTCCAGGAGCCTGCTAGGGGATCCCCTTCTGGGCTGGGTCCTATCACGCACAGTATAGTGCATCCTGTGCTTGGGACACTTTGCTGGCCTCAGGTGGCTCAGAGTGTCCATATGCATGAGTGTTTTCTGGATGGAAGCACTGTTTCCTAGTGTTTCCTAGTGCCAGCTGAAGTGGTGCCATTACCTACCTTTTTGGGCCCCAGTTGAGCGCTTTGTGACCTAGTAAAGTGGGGTGAATTGCTCAGGGCCACAGCTAGTGAGGAGCCAGGCCGGCGCTGGCCTGAGGCCTGCTCTTCCCACTCCCCACTCTGTCCCAGTCTCACAGCCTGTGGTCACTGCCCCTGGACGAGGCCTGACAGGGAGGAATGGAAGCCCTGAGTCCCCCCTGCATGGGAACTTCTGTTCCTGCCTCATTCTTTGCATGTATATGGAGAAAACAAGGACTGGCTCATCATTTGAAAACTGTGTTTTATTCTTCTTTTTTTCTCAAGGATGAAGAGGAAGAAATCAAACTGGAGATAAATATGCTGAAGAAATATTCTCATCATAGAAATATTGCAACGTACTATGGTGCTTTCATCAAGAAGAGCCCCCCAGGACACGACGATCAGCTCTGGGTAGGTGGCTGCCGCGCTTCTGGCTTCCTGGTTGTGCGTGGGGAGGGGTAAGCTGGGCCAGGGGTCCCCAGGCCTTCTCAGCATCCCACTGTAGAAGAGGCGCTGAGTGCTGATCGTGAGGGGAACCCTTCTGCAAGGGACGTGAGCAGAGACCTAGGAAAATAGAAATTTGAAAATAATACAGACAAGCTTTACTTAGGAAATAAATTTCAGTCATTTCTACAAAAAGTATTTGGAGAGACAAAGTGTTGTCATTCACTTGTGAATAATGTTGATGATTCTAGTAAAAATAGTAAGTTAAAAATAGTAAGTTCAGGGCAGTTCCGCAAATTAAACTTGGAGCCCTGTGAGCCTGCAGGTCTGCCACTGGGCTTGAGGCATTGAACTTACAAAACAGGGAAACAAAGTGCCATGTTTCCTAAGGATTGTTTTAAAAAATTCGTCATAAAAAGTTGCAAAATTAAGAAAGCAGAAGGGAGAATTATCCTATTTCCACTGCCTGAATCTGATCAGTGTTAAAATTTTAGGAAAGTTCGATTCAGTTCATTTTCTAGATATTTTACAAATACATTTGAGATTGTATTTTTCAAACATGTAGATGTTATAAATTTGCAGTTCTTATGAGTTGCCCAACTGCATAAAACCATGTTTCCCTTTGGAATGAAGCCCATTTACTGTGATGTGGGGGGAGGACTCCTATACGGAGGAATGGGCCATCCTGGAGGCCATGGGGGAGCTGTGGTGGGGCCCCTTGGGCCAGGACTCCTGGCTTCAGGCAGCACCTGTAGGCTGGGGAGAAGAGGAGCCCGCCAGCCTGCGGCCTCCCCTCCTGTATTAATCACTGTGTCCTGCGTGCCCTCCAGCTGGTGATGGAGTTCTGCGGGGCAGGGTCCATCACAGACCTCGTGAAGAATACCAAAGGGAACACGCTCAAGGAAGACTGGATCGCCTACATCTCCAGGGAAATCCTCAGGGTGAGGGCGGTAGGCTGCGGCCCCAGTGTCTGTGTGTTCGCCGTGGGGCAGCAGTCCTCCTGCCTTCCACAGCCACCTTAGCTCTGGGAGTTTTGGTCAGAAGTGGACTGAAAGGTACTCCAGTCGGCCCTCTGCACCTGTGGCTCAGCAGTGCTCGGGACGGACCTGCTCTGTGCTGAGGCATGCGGGCCTTTTTCCTGTCATCACTCTCTAAATGCCTGGTAACAGCTGTTTATGTGCCATTTACATTGTATCCAGTATTATGAGTAGCCACAAAATGATGGGAGGTGTGGGGCGGTCAGGAAGTACAGGCTCAGACAGCCTTAGACTCTGGCCTACAAGGGACACTCAGGAATCCTGGAGCCAGTTCCCTTGGGTATCCAGGGACACCTGTGGTGTTTCCTATTGCCCTGAATTTGGTTTCCAGGTCATCAGGACATGACCCAGTGACAGCTTTGCACTGGACTTTAAAGGGAGATGGTGTGCGGGAAAGAAAGATCTCGAACCTCTGCTTGTCTAGGAGTTGTGTGTATGTGCTTACAAATCCCTCCTAAGGGGCCTGATGCCGGTTTTCTGAGTCCTTTTGTGGACTTGTGCATTCACTGTTAGAATCTGTGGCAGTATTTATGAAGAAACGGTCTAATGTGTAGTGTTATTTACAGCAAATTACAGCGTTGTCTGATGCTCTTAGAGTGGGTTTCTAAATTGCTGTTTTAGTTGCCAGTAGGTGGTTTATGTGAGTAGCAAAGCCATCCTGACAGCCAGGGTTGTATCTCTAGGATTTTGTATTTGGTTTTTCTCTCCCCCACCCTTGCTTCTTCTCTTTTTGTTTGTTTGAGACAGGGTCTTGCTATGTAGTTTAGGCTGGCCTTGAGTTTATGGCACTCTTCCTGCCTCAGCCTCCTGAGTGCTGGGATTATAGGCATGTGACACACACGCTTCTTGGGGATTCTTTGTATTTGAAATTTACGTGTGAGTTGCTAGTGGGGCTCTCCCCCTTTTCCCTGTCAGTCTTTTTCTATCTCATACCTAAATTACATACTTAAATTACTTGGTTACATTTTATTTACTTGCCATATTTTAAAACTATGACTTAGGGAGTTAAGCTGAAATCAGTTCTGCTCTTCCTACAAGTAAAATTATCTAGAATTCCTAGAGCACGTTTTATTTTTATTTAAATATCTTACAGAGCCCTTCTTTTGTGAGATGGCACAGGGCCGGGAAAGGGTAGGGGAGCGCCCTGTTTGTACAGAAGGTACTGCCTGCTCAGCGCTGCAGGGGCCGGAGCCTGCAAGGGCTGGACTAAGCACCCTGCCTAGCCTGCTGCTGCCACGGGGTTCCGGAAATGGCTGCAGGACCACACTGGGGTCCGCATGTCAGCTGTGAGGCTGAGCCGCTGCTGCCGGGCCTGGCCCCTGTTGTTGATTCTGTGCCATGTTCAGCCCTCAGGACTCGTTTCCTGCTCTGCCTTACAGATCCCAGCTTGGGGAGGTACAGCTGCTAGCAGAGAAATGAGTTAGCCTATGACTCTTTGTCACACTTGGGCAGAGCTACGCTCGGGTTTTCACACACTTGTGTGTCCCTTTCTTGTGCAGAATTCTGGTGTGACACTTAGTGAGCAGCAGGTGAGCTTTGGCACAGTGTCCTCCAGTCAGTTGAGCTGCTGCCTGCCAAGCTGCATAGCATATGCTCAGTGTGCCTGGCCATGGGCCACACAGAGTGTGGAAGACAAGGGTCCTGCTGACCAGGATGCCGCAACTCTTAACCATCCAAGAGGTGGACGCCTCGGGTTCTAAAATCAGAGCTCCCTTTACCTCCGTGTCATGCTCGGTGGGGTTTCCCAGGACACACTTGAAATTCACTAAAGCTAGTAGATTGTGCATTCTGGGGAGAGAGAGGGTGTCACCTGCTGCTGAGTGTGAGTGACACAGGAGTGGGCACCAGTTAGGGAGCCGGGGGGAAGTGCAGGCTGCCACAGTCAGGAGCAGGCACTTGGGGGCCAGTCCACCAGAACCTGGGGACCACAGGCTTAGCAACATAAGGAACGCATCCCACAGCCCCGGTGTGCAGCTGTTTCCGTGTGTTTGGGGGGGTGGTTCCCCATCAGTGCTGGGTGCACCACATATGCTGGGGAGAGTGAGTGAGCCCCGTTCACAGTGGACTACTAAATGGGTTAAAGACTGCTCTGGGCACTTGGCCATGTTTAATTCATACTCTGTAAAGTAAAATAATAAAGTGAAGCCACACAGAAAAATGTGAGAAAAATCAGTAGAGTACTCTGTCACCTGTGCTTTCTGGAAGGAGTGATGTAGACTGCGCAGGGTATGGGGTCTCAGACAAGCAAAGCCCAGGGCAGCGAGCGCTGAGCAGGTCTCGTGGTCTGCAGGGCAGGGCGGACTGGTGCAGCACAGTCACAGTCTCTTCTCACCTCTTGGGCTTCCTTCCAGTTCCAAGGTCATCAGAAAGTGCTAGATTTTCTCTGGGAAAAAAGATACTTTACTTCGAGTCTTCAGATGGCAGCTCCGCTGTGCACTGGGACGGGGTGGGGGCCTGGCTGGCACTGAGCCATTCATCTCGTGCAGTGGGGAGATGGCTAGGCTGGAGAGCCAGCCCCACCTGCCTCGGCCCTCCGCCGCTCTCCTGGGATGGGGCCAGGCACATAGCCCATGGGGTCACCCACCGAAGGTCCCTGCTGGAGTGGGAAAGGAACCGCCCTGTACACAAATGGCACAAATTACAGCCGGAGATTGCCGCCATCCAGAGGCACGGGGGGGGGGGGTGCTCTGGGGCAACTCCAGCTGGTCGGAAGGCAGGGATGGGGCTCCCTGCCCACAAGCACATGTGGGGGCGAGGGGGCAGGGAGATGGCCTCCAGAGGATGCTCCGAGTTGCAGTGAGAGGTGTGTCTGACCTTTCACTCACAGGGACTCAGAGTAAGACACCTTTGTCTCCACAGGGCCTGGCACACCTCCACATCCATCATGTGATCCACCGGGACATCAAGGGCCAGAACGTGCTGCTGACGGAGAACGCGGAGGTGAAGCTTGGTACGTGTGTGCGCGTGTGCATGTGTGCGTGTGCCTGTGGGCGGGTGCCACATTGGCTGGTTTCCTGTCTCTGCTCCCCGCAGACTGCGGGAACCAGGCATGGGCAACCCTGCCCCGGGCTTCTGCCTGTTCCACCCTCTGTGTGGGAAAGCAGCCTGACTGATTTTAAATCCAGCTGCATTACTTTGCTACTTAGAGACCCTTTTTGCCTTACTTTGGACAAAATCCACATTTCTTGCCCTGGTCTATAAAATGTTCTAGGATCTGACCCCTGCTACTTTCCCACCCCATTTGTGACCCTTTTGTCTTCCTCTGCCACCCTGCCCCAGGGCCTTTGCACGCATTGTTCCCCCCACTGGGAGCGCTAGACCTTAGTTTTTCCTCATCTGTAGGAACTTTCTCTGACCCTCTGATCTGTCCTAGGCTCTCTTTTTTTCTTTCCCAGTACTGCTTACAGTTTATAATTTATGACTATTTTCTTATGTCTCTGTCTCATTTGCCAGAATGAATGTAAGTTCTGGGAATGTAGCAGCTGGATTGCAGTGTTCTCCGGTGGCACCTGGTGCATGGCCTTGTGTGTAGTAGGAGGAGATAAGCTTCTGGGGTTTTCCTGGAGATGATCTCACAGTGGTTTCTAACCTTTGGCTGGATCTCAACCTGATCCCACTTGGTTCCCACATAATGATCTGCCAGGGTTTCTGACAGTCTTAGCTGTTACTTTTCTTCATGAATGGATTGTTTTTTTAAAAAGCACCTTCTTTATGCTTCTGAGAGTCAAGTGAGTCTGGTCGACCATCCTTTGAGGTGAGAGGCAGTTCTGTCACCTGCTCTTCCTGTGCCAAAGCTGAGCCGGAAGCACTGCTGGCTTGGAGGGCCGTGTGTCCCTTGCCCTGGGGCTGTTCTGTGATCAGCCACTGGCAGCTAGCAGGGCTCCTGTGCCCACTCCATGGCCTGGCTTCCAGGAGGAGCAGGCGCAGTTGGTCAACAATGAGCCTGCCTGCTGCTTGCTGCGCACCGTGTGCGTGTGCGTCACTACTGCAAATCGTCGCCTTGTGCACAAGCTGGGCCTGCTGCTGGGCTGGCCATGGCAGCATGGGGAGCCCGGTATCTGGAGAAGGGCTCTGTCGCCCTCCTGTGTCACCACTGAGTAGAACACGAGCAGGTAGAAGGGACCTTAAAAGCCTCAGCGCCGAAGGCTTTGGGAGGTGTCCTTTTGTGTGCCTGCTGTTGTTTCTTCAGTGCGGTTCCACGTTCTTTCAGACACCCCCCCCCCATGCGATTGGGAAGCCACAGCAAGGGGCCCCTGAACTTGCAGTTGGGGAGGCAGGCTTAGTTCTCTGAAAGCACCGAAGATCACCACCCTGCACAAAGGCCTTGCGCTGTTCCCCGGGGGCAGGGCCTGGCTCCCAGGAGCTTCCACATTGACAGAGGAGCTGGCCAGCGGGCTCAGTGGCCATGCTCAGGACCGGCTGCGCTGTTTGCAGGTCACAGAGTGGCAACATCCCCCGTCCCCTAGTGATGCCGCCTCTTCACCTTGTCACCTCAGCATCTTGCGTATTTACTGATCATGTCCTCGGTTCCTCTCTGTCTTCCTTTTACAGTGGATTTTGGGGTGAGCGCTCAGCTGGACAGGACGGTCGGTCGGAGAAACACGTTCATTGGCACTCCCTACTGGATGGCACCCGAGGTCATCGCCTGCGATGAGAACCCTGATGCCACCTACGACTACAGAGTAAGGGGTGATGTTTCCTGGGTCCCCTCTGGGCCCCCAGGCTTCTTGAGGTGGGGCACCTTGCTTGGGAGCTGCTTTATCAGAGGCAAAGGTGGGCACCCTTGATGTGGGCACAGTGCTTTCAGTCCTTGGCCGCTCCCCTGTGCTGCCCCTCCTGCAAGGGCGCTGACTGGAAATTGCATTGGGAACTCATGTTTCCTCTGCACAGGGCACTGCCCGGGAGGGTTTGGGGCAGCCTAGTTAAATGCTTGACAGCTGCCATCAGGCAGGAGTGAGTTCTAACTGAACTGAGTTCCTACAGTGACCTCTAGAGACCTGAATCAGCAGCACAGGTTTTGATCCAGGTGTAACACTCAGGCAATAGGATAGACTGTTTATAGAGACTTGATGCTTGGTGGAATTAAACGAGCCAGAGTGGTTAATACACCTGATAATCATACTCAAAGTTGAGTTCATGCCTGAGAGTCTCCAATATATCTCAGTGTTTATTATACTACCCAGTCAACTTAAGCCAGTATTGCAGAGGAATTTTATTTTATTTTATTTTGTGTTATGTTATGTTATGTTATGTTATGTTATGTTATTTTTGGTACCGGGGATCAAACTCGTGACCTTGTGCTTGCCAGGCAGTGCTTATGCTGCTGAGCTAAATCCCCAGCCCAGAATTTTAATTTTTTTAGAGGAAATATTTTAAAATAGATTACAGACTTTGTGACTTTCTGATCTTTTAGTGTATTATTACTTATGTAAACTTTGAAAGCATTTTCAAATTTAGAAAACTTTAAAAAAAAAACAAACCCTAGAATCCGCTCACCCCAGGAAATGAAACCACTGTGACCCATTAGCCTGTCCTGGGCTGAAAGGCTCAACTCCTGTCTTCTGTGGGGTGGCGTGTTGCGTGCATTCTCCGATCAGGGAGCAGGTTATCCCCACCCCCGGCCCTAAGGTCCCTGGAAGCCATCTCTCGGGTGAGGGATGAACCCAGGTCCCTGTATGCCGAGCACCTCATCGTGGCCGGGGTGCACTGCAGGAGGAGCTGTCCTTGGGCCTGGATTCAGACAGCGGCTCCTGACATGACCAGGTCTCCTAGGGACATCCCTGATCTGCAGGTGTCAGTGTGTCCTTGCGTGTACGTGAAACACGCTGCGACAGTGACGGCCCACACCTGCTCTTCAGAAATGTTTTTGATTTTAAGCAATATTATTAGGTAATAATCATTGTCCATTAGCTAGTGTTAATTGGGTGCCCATAGGATTGTGAGCAAAACAGACAAAAGTACTTGCTGTCATTGAGTCGGGAGGCAAGTTCAGTGCAGATCTGAAAGCTGGCGTGTGCAGGTGCTGGCAGGAAAGAGCACACCCAGCTCCCCGATGGCGAGGAAGCCTGGGGCAGGAGGCCTAGGGGAGTGGAGAGTTGTGCTTGGTTCCAGGAATTCAGTTCTGCATACTTCATAAAGAGTGCATTCTGCATTTTAAACTCACAACTTTCAATTTAAGTTTGAAGCGGTGACATAGAGCGGAAACCTAAGATAAACGCTGGCCAGGACACTGAGCTGTAAAGATGACAGGAAGGGGCAAGGGGAAGCATAGACTGTTAGTTAATTAGCTGGTTAGTTAGAGGAGGTTTGGAAGGGAGCTGCCTCCAGTTAATCAGATTGGTTTTAATTGGAAGCCAATATCAATTTTATTTCTTTTCACTCACTTATCTATAGATTGTCCTTGTACATGTATTCATGCTTTAATTTCCGGCAGACTTCTTTTTGAATTGTGCACTTGGAAGAAAGTCTTCATTTCATTTGAGTGGACAGGTAGAAGTGTAAATAAGCTATGACTTTGTAGTTAATGCCGTATCCATAGCGACTCTTTTATTTCTGCAGAGTGACCTTTGGTCTTGTGGCATTACGGCCATTGAGATGGCAGAAGGTGCTCCCCGTAAGTAATTTCTTTCCTTTTAAACCTGTCCCCTGGCTAAGTTCTTCCTGGTGGGGCAGATAAAGAAGGGATGGTGAGCTTGGTAGTTCAGATATAAAAGGAGTGTTGGTAGGCTAGGTTTTTTTCATGTGTGTCCCGAAGAGATCAGCTAACGGCTAATTGTTCCTTTTACATTTTAGATTTAATATTCAGTGAAATTAGTTCTAACACATGAGGTTCTATTTTTTGATTTTACAGATGGAGGCGCTACCTTTTATTTATAAAATATTTTGTTTGCTGTCAACATAGAATGTTGCCTTTTCCTTGCATTAAATCAATGAGAACTTCATGAAATTAATTTTTTGATCAGGAATGGGATAAAATTGCTAAGAAAAAAAGGAGAAACCCCCTTCCCAATTTACTGCTGCTGTCCCTAAAAATAGTGCCTTCACACGGTATCTAGCTGACTGGTCCATAATCACTCAATACATGCGTTGAATGTGGAAGAAACACATTGCCAGCCAAGGGCTTGCTCGCGGCCCAGAAATGCTCGTGGCCCAGAGACTAGAGTCTGCCCGAGCACCCTCAATCCCTTGTGCATGGTCTGACCTTCCCCAAGGGAGGTGCCTCTCCCTGCTGCCCCACCCCCTCCCTCGCTGTCTCCTTAGCTTCCCTCGGTGGAGACGCATGTTGCCCACTGTCCACAGTGAGGCATCCCTGCATGTGTGTGCTCTGCGGTCTTTGTCTGGGGAAAGAGGTGCAGGCACTCCGTTTTACACTCATCTTTTTATATATGAGATGCAGACGCGAGCAGCAGCGTTTCCAGTGGGCTCAGCTGTGACACTGAGTAAAGCCCTTTGCAGTTAGTTAATCCCTGTGAAAGACAGTCATTTCTATTGTACTCTCACAGAAGGCTTAAAAGCTTGTTAAGTGTCACCTCCTGTAAGTCTTTGACTTGGTTTTTACCTTTGATTAATGGGAAGTTTCTTATGTCTGTTCGAAGCTGTGTATTTTTCTGTTGCTCTTGTTTTTATTTTGCTGTTACTAAGTGGGAAATTCAAGGGATGCCCTAGACTTAGTAACTAGAGGTCTAGGCTGACAGGCTGCGATCAGCCTGGTGAGTGAACCCAGGGCCGTGCTGACGTGCCGTCTCCTCTCCCCAGCCCTCTGTGACATGCATCCAATGAGAGCGCTGTTCCTCATCCCCAGGAACCCTCCGCCCCGGCTGAAGTCAAAGAAATGGTAAGCAGAGTGGGAGTGATAACTGCCGTTCTTTTCCTTTGCCTTTTCCTCCCTTGTCCCTTTTACTCTTGTCCCTTTGTGCCCTTCTCTGTCTGCTTATTTTACTTCCTTTTGAGATAAAATTCTGGCCATTGTAATTTCATTGAATGCAAAAACCATTACCTCAAAACATAATGAAAAGGTGCCTGTGTTCCCTTGAGTTTGTTAAGTTCTCTTTGAACTCCAGTATGATGGCAAGTGGCCTTACGAAACACAGTAACTGGTTAAAGAGAGAAGTTCCGTGTAGGAATTAAGCGTAGTGTGAGCTCCTTCTAGACATCTTTCTTTTTAGAAAGCACAGCTGTGTTGACCTGCATTTTCTTAGATGCTGCAGAGCATTGAATGTACAGGAAGACTGTCCCTCGGAAAGGAAGCTTGGCTTGCCCTTTTCCATTCCAGAGGCACCTGGGAAGATACTGGCCTTCCTCCTTGGGCAGCCACCCGTCCTGCCCTGGCTGCTGTCCTGCACGATCAGAGAAAAGACTGACAGACAACATGCAGGGCAGGGTGGAGAGGACCCCTCCTGAGGACAGCTTTGGAACTTAGGGTTTTGACCACTCGTCCTCTCGGAGCTCCTTTCGGAGTCCCCTTCTGTCCCCCTTTGCGTGAAGCTGCTGTCCATAGTGGCTGTCTCTCTATCCTCTGTCTAAGTGGTGCCCTCTATCCCACTGTGTCCCCCACAGTCCTCATCTATCTCTGAATGTGACTCAGATTAATGTCTTCTGCTCGGCTTGTCTGCCCTGCCCGTGTGTGTGTGGGGAGGTGCAGTGTGTGCAGTGTGTGCAGGGTACCCGTGCCGAGCCTTTCCTTTTTGGCCACTCATCTTCCGATGCTTTGCAGTTGTTTCTTCCCCTCCTGGTGTTGATGCCCCTAGATGTCCTCATCCCTGTTTTTTCCTGCATCTCCCGTTCCTTCTGTCCCAGTGCCCAGCACCTCGCTGTTCTTTTCTCACCCTTCTGCTGCGGGCAGGGTTTCTTTTCATTCTCCGTACATCATCTCCTCATTGTTCTGTTGCACACACCTCAGCATCTCCTTCTGTTCTCTGCTTTCTGGGATTCTTAAAGGCCACACAGCTGCAGAGACTGGTCTTGCTTGATCCGCTGCGTTAATGCATGATAGCTCCTGGGTGTCCTGGGCGGCTGACCCAGGAACCACATGTGTGTGGTGGACCTGCTCCACATTTATCCATTTCCATCACTGTTCTCATTGTACCCCATGCTGGAGGGCCAAGGTGATTGCAGATCATGGCTTTCTTCAGCTGTGTTTGCTGTCTTCCTGAACACGAGATGTAAATTTCTACTACCGCATTGTTTTTGGAGAAGTGGCCATCAAAAGGCAGCTGGTGATGTCTTTTCCTGCAGAAGTCAGCTGTTGATTTTTAAAGAACATACTATAGGTGCTTGATCGCCAAATGTTAGTCTGGACAAAGTATGCGAGAACTCTCTGGATCTTCTAATTCAGGACCCAGGCCCAGAGCTGCTGTTCTGGGAAGTGACCCTAACCTCTGTGTCCTTGGTCGGTTCCCTGCAGTAGTTCTGTGAGCCCCAGAGCCTGGGGATTCTCATGGGCAGCACAGTGCTGTGTGCCTCCTTCGTGCTCTTCTTAACCGCAGAGCGCGGGGCCTGAGCGGCTGTGAGCGGACCTGTTTCCCGCTAGAAAATGGCTCATGCCCTCTGATTATCTGTTCACATCTCATCTCTGTGGGTTTCTGTCTCACATCCGTTTTTGGAGTATCATCAAACATCTGAACTTTTCTTGATGTCCAACCACTGGATCAGTTTGACTTTTTGTCTTCTAAAAGTTTAATTATAATTTGCTGTTCTATATACCTAACTTTCCGTTTTTTACTTCCTATGTATATCTCTTATATAGCCTGTTGTGGGCAGGGTTTGCAAGGGAAACAATTTAATACAGAACTCTTCATTTATGGGATTATTTATAATAGTCACCCAGACAGTCAGCTACAAACAGTGCAGGAAATCTGTCCATGCACTGAAGAGCCAGAAAACCCAGTTGAGGGTCTGGAGCCCATGACAGTGCTCCGTACGAGTCCAACTGAAGGTCTAGAGCCCAGGACAATGACCCATGCAAGTCTGTTGGACCCATGGATCTGTACTGGGAAGATGCAGAGGTCAGTGGTGGAAGCCACAAAGTCTGTGCCAGCAGGGGGAAGGATCTGTGCCAGCAGGCTTGCGATGCTGCACTGGAGTCAGGAAGTGATGCTCAAAGTAAGGGCCAGAGCTCCCCTGAAAAGTACCACAGCCATCCTCAGCGACAGTGAGGTCCTGAGCTCCTCTGATGATAACAGGCGAGTACATGTCAGGAAGGAATCTCAAGGAGCTCCTCCAGGAGAACCCACAGCACCACCCCTTCCTCTCCAGGTTTCCTTTTTGTGTTGTTGGCAGCAATCCCCAGGTGGCCTTCCACACCCAGCACCACACTGATTGATTTTAGCCAAGTGTTACATGTTGACTACCAGTTGTCAATCCACCACAAAGCCCAGCATAAATTCATACATAAATATTTGTCAAACTGGAAAAATAAAGTAAGCTTAGGCAGAAATGCAAGGTAAGAGAAAGAAGCGAAATAATTAGAGCTGAACTAATTTTCTAAATCACAATACTTAAAAACTGAAGAAGTCATTCATTCAACAAAAATGGGTTGCGTGTCATCTATGGTATTCCCCTGGATTGTGGAGCTTCTCTGATAAAGCAGACCTGTCTTGCCTTGCTGCCAGCCAGCAGGAGAGAGAGGCCCATGGAGTGCGCACTCAACTAAGTGCAGATGACTACAGGAGAGGGGCTCCTGACCTGGGGCGCGCAGTGCAGTCCCCACCCCAGACAGGGTGCGTGGGAAGGTGGGTGCGAGGCTGGGGCAGCCGTGGGAGCGCAGAGAAGCAGGCAGTGCTGAGAGGCCTCACCAGCACAGGCCTGGCACAGCTGTCAGGCTCAACTGTGTGCGAGGACCCCTTGAGCTGGCCAGGGTGACCCTGTGACTGCAGGAGTGAAGAGCCACTCATGCATGCCAGCCTTGGTCACCTGTCTGTCCCTGCCTGCTGGGTCCTGGCATCGACCCTATCTGTGCCTCATGCTAGTGCAGCCTTCTGTCTGTGTCTGTGCTTCCCTGCGTGGTGCTTAGTGGTGCATGAGTGGCTCAGGGCTGTAGACCTAAGTTCCTGGCAACTCTCTGCCTGTGGTGTGTTGTCAGCGTTGTCTCTGTGCACTTGCAGGACATTTGTGGTGATTCTGGAGCTCTTTGGTTTCAGGGTGTAAGTTACCCATAGTTTGGAGCTAAAGCTCTTGGTGGTAGAAATTGTTATTTTCCCCATCTTCCTACAGGTCAAAGAAATTTTTTAGTTTCATAGAAGGGTGCCTGGTGAAGAATTACATGCAGCGGCCCTCCACAGAGCAGCTTTTGAAGCATCCTTTCATACGGGATCAGCCAAATGAAAGGCAAGTTCGAATCCAGCTTAAGGACCATATAGACCGGACCAGAAAGAAGAGAGGAGAGAAAGGTATTACCCCTGCTTTACTTTCATCCTTAAAAGTTGGTCTTCTTAGGTCCTTGCCAACTCCAACCAGTCCCACTGCCCCCAAGGGTGACACCGCTCCATTCCTCCCTGGCAGTATGTCTCACATTGTGTGTCTCCACATTTTTGTGTGGTGCTGGGAATGGGCTATGGGTCCAGCCAGCCCAGCAGGATGGTGTGTCCCCAGCAGACAGCAGTTTGGGCAGCTTGGCTTTGCTGTCTGTCCTCTGGGCACCTCTCAGTGCTCACCATGATTCTGCTCTGGTCTCTGTTCTGTTCCACTTGGGCTGCATGGACACTGTGCTGGGATGTTCTCCACTCTCCCCTCAAAGACTGACCTCTCTGCTGCATGCCCACTGGGTCCCCAGTTGCTAAGTAAGCCACATAAATCCCCTGCATGCTGTGTCCTGCAGCAGGGGCTGCGCCGAGGGCTGGGCCACCCGTGTGCCCAGACCGCCTGTCCTCATTCACTGCACAGCGTGACCATGCTGCGTGAGCAGGCCCCTTTCTGCCTTGGCGTCCTGGCCTTGTGTCTTTACACACTGTGCCTGCTACTTGGAGGGCCCACTCTCTCCTTCTGTCCTGCATGGTACGGATCATGGTTCGTCATCCCTCACCAGCCCACTGCCCAGCCTGCTAGTTTGCGGAGATCTTCCATTGACTAGGCAGAGTGGCACTGGAGTCCAGCCTCGTGCATGGCTTTTTTTTGGACATAGAAATTTCAAGGCCAAAGAGGGAACTGACAAGAGCAAGTCCTGGGCAGTATGAGAGTGGTCAGGGGGCTGGGAGGGCCCAATAGTGCTCACTGGCCCACCATATGTGAAGCCTTGATTGGTATCTGTTGCCCTCCCCACGGGAGTTGGCCAGAGCCACCTTAGAGGCTGTTTGTGACTGCGCATTCGAGTCCCACAGAGCCCTTGGGTGTCATAGTTAAGTCGATGTTCTTTTCCCCTCTTGTATATTCAGTCATAAAAGGAATTAAGCTTTGCATATAAAACTGTGATTACTGCAAAGTGAACTAAAGGCTAAAAATGATACCTTCTTTTCTTAACTCTTACCAGCGGGTAGCTCTTTTTTTGAAAATTATTCTTTGTAAATTGGGCATGTAGGTAAGTGTTCCTGTCACTGGGACACAGCATGTGACACCCACACTTCCAAGAGAGGTCTTGTCACTATGGTCTGCAGCTTTAATGTCCCTGGGGAGGAAGGAGGGGAGGGTGAGAAAATAAAGATGAGGTGGAGGGGAGGCCATGTGGGGCCCTGCCCTGATGGGAGGGAGAAAAGGGTGGCCTGACCACTGCTGCGGGCTGATTATACCTTCAGAGGTGATGTCTCCTTCAGCCCGCGGTCTGGCAGCTCAGCTGCCTGGGCCCCTGGCCTTCTTGGAGCTAGAACAGCTTGTCTGCTTGGCTTGTTCTGGGCTCTCTGTGTTTTGGGGCAGGCCTTGCTTTAGTCCCACACTGTGATCAGTCTCCAGCTTCAGCCGATCCTACGAGGTTTCATGTGGCTCACAATTTCAGGAGACTTAGTCCGTGATCTCCTGGCTCCAAGAAGGAGAAGCAGAAGGACCTGGTAGAACACAAATGGTTAGTTCATGGCCTTGAGGAAGCCGAGCAGGGAAGGAGTCTTGGAGAGGAAGGCGCCAGGGGCAGGTACAGTACCCGAGTCAGGCCTGTGTCCCAGCAAGACACGCCTAGCTACAGGGCCCTCTGAAGCCAGTCAGGTTGACGGCTAGCTTACGTGGTACTTTGGATCATCTGCCCATCGCAAAACCTGACATTCGTGGCACGTCAGCTGTGCCCCAGTGTTTGCTGAGTACCTGCCCTGGACCGTGACTGACCCCTCATCCTACACGTGGGTAGGGACAGCAGAGTAACTTACTTCAGCTTTGTTTCTTCAGTCACAGCCCTGCACTTCACGTTCACCTGCCATGTACTCAGGTTCCTGTCTATAAATAGTTTCTTACATAGAGTTTTAAACAAACATGGAGTACTAATTTATAAGATTCCAGTGGTTATTCAGGTCAGTGCTCCCGTGGAGATGGCGAGTGTCTGTGGGCCCATTACAGTTACATGGCCCGACTGCCTAGCGTAGAGAAGAATTGATGTCGTCGGTCTGGACTGATGGATTTGTCTGGAACCACAAGTCCTTAGGCCCGGTTCATCTTCTGTATCTTCTATATCTCTGACAAAAGGCAGAGTATTTTTTGTTCGTTTGTGAGCAGGCCTTGTTTAACTGTTTATTTTCTCTGTTTGGATTGCTCTCTGGCATGAGACAGCTCTCTGAAGTTGGGCCTTACGTTTGCAGAGACCAAACAGTGGCCTCTGACCTCCCGAGAAAGTGAGGTAAAACCTGCGGTGTGAAGAATGAATTACTCATGTAGGAAATCTTGCTAACATCTGACTTTTTTATCTTGTTTATGCGCTCCTGTGCCATTAGTTTTTTTCCGGCTTCGCCTTTGTGGTGGTGGTGCCAGCACACACTTAGTGCCTCCCTTCTTTTTGCCTGGCAGGCCTTTCTCTGCACCTCACCCTTGGGTTCTGGGGTGCTGAGGACACCCAAGTGCAGTCTCTGGAGTACTTCTGCCCCTTCCAGCAGTTGCTGTTTCCTTGGAGTCCTGGCCTGCAGACTGACCTTGTCCACTTGCTGGTCATTTTTCATGTGCATCCCTTGTTCTGAGACCCTCAGAACATCCCCTGGCAGAGGTCTTCTGGCAGGCCTGGGGGTCAAGCTGGCCTGGGCAGCTTGGCAAGCCAGGGAGAACCCAAGGCACATTCTGAGTGCCAATCTAGCGTATCTTCCCCCACCCCATCCTCTGGATGAGGTGCTGTTTCCCAGAATGCTCCTGGGACTGCTGGCCCCTGCAGACCCGGGGCAGGAGTGGTGACCATCCCATGTCCTTGTGTTCACAGATGAGACGGAGTACGAATACAGTGGAAGTGAGGAGGAGGAGGAGGAAGTGCCTGAGCAGGAAGGAGAGCCAAGGTGAGGTCTCGCTTCAGCGTGCTGTGCAGGTTCAGAGGGCCTGGACTCCTGGTCACTGCCAGGCGCCTCACATTCCTGTTCTTGCTGTCCTGTGACAGATCCTGTTAAGTGCCCATTGCCTTTAACCAGGGATCATCCCTCATCCCCTCGCCTTCATGTGGAATGGGCAGACGCATTTGGGGGTCCCTCTCCAGCTCAGTGTTGGGGAAGCGTCAGCCTGCTAGTGGGCCCCCACTAGAGAATGATGACCGCTCTCTGGCCGTTCTTTTTGGTTGGTTGATGTCACCTCCAGCGTTACCAGTGTTGGATGGCTGGGGTGGGCACGCTCTGTGCCGACCCAATGTACGGTTTATGCTTTGGTTCTCCCTGGCTTCCCAAAGTGCAGTGAAGTGGGCATTGGGGAGCAAGACCTAGAAGAGCTCTGTAATGACATGAGTCAAGGCAGGCGAGTTGGGCTATGAGAGACAGAGGGGAAGATAGAGGATCTGGGGAGACATACACGTAATGGAGAACAGCACATGCTGTGGTGAGAGCCCCGTGAGGTCTTTTTCGCCTTACACTACCATGTGAACCTATCTTAAAGTTGTAGAAGATTTTCAACTGATTCTTGAGCAATATAAGTGTTTGTGGATGGGGCAATAATCAGTGAAAGATGAGAGTTTGAGAGGTTTGTTTGCTGCCATGTTACTCTGAGCTAGGGAGCTGCTGGCTAGCACTTCTGTGCTGTGACCAATCTCCGAGAGTCCCGAGGCTCGGTGCTGACCCTGGCCCAGGACCACAGTGCGGTCTGGGGGAGGGCACTGAGTACAGAGTGCCCAGATGTTCCTGTGCACCCAAGGGGTACTGGCGGGTGACTTTGGCCTTCACTGTTGTTAAATGGTGAAATGAGCCGGGTGTGGTGGTGCCCTCCTGTAACCCCACACTCAGGCATCTGGTGCTGCTGCTGCCCTCCGGGGCCGGGCAGTGCGTGGCACTTCTGAAGCCCTACTTCCCCACAGCTCCATTGTCAATGTGCCCGGGGAGTCCACGCTGCGCCGCGACTTCCTGAGGCTGCAGCAGGAGAACAAGGAGCGCTCCGAGGCGCTGCGGAGACAGCAGCTGCTGCAGGAGCAGCAGCTCCGGGAGCAGGAGGAGTACAAGCGGCAGCTGCTGGCCGAGCGGCAGAAGCGGATCGAGCAGCAGAAGGAGCAGAGGCGGCGGCTGGAGGAGGTAGGGGCGTGTCCCTGCTGGCCTTGTCTCTTCTGTGTGCGTGCTCTGTGTGTGCTTTGCGTGCGTTCTGCAGCCTGCACCGAGCTGTGGCTCTTCACATGCTGGGCCCAGTCAGCCAGGACTACACATTGAGACCCTGGCTCAAAAGCAGCAAGAAAAGGAAGTTTCCCCGGGGAAGGTCGGCTTGCTCAGCCTTGCCTTCTTCACTTCAACCTCTGGGTTGTGTTTTTCCAGAACTGCACACTCTGTCCCTGGAAAAGGGTTTTCCCCTGGGAGTCCTGACTTCAGGTGTATCTGAGAGTGAAGAGCCAGGGAACAGCTTTAGGATTTGGTTAGTTACTCGCCATGGTGGGAATACATTTTGTGCATGGAACCCATTCATAGTGTCAGCGCTGGCCGGTGACCTGGCTCCTATAGCCCTTCCCTTTTCATTTGCAGAAATGCATCAATCTGAGATTTCCCTCAAGTGTCAGCCGGGCCTTTGCTTTGCTTTTCTTAATGGCTTTTTGCTGTGTATTTTACAGCCAGGAATTTCTCAGTAATCATTTGTTTCCATTTAATCCAAGCATCTTACTGTTTCACCTTTGTTTCTCCAGTAGAAAAAGAACCCAACAACAGCATAGAGCCCTGTGTGGATGTTTTCCAGCAGAGTTCAGTCTGAGTAGCAGCAGATGCTCCTGGCTGAGTTTCTGAGCGGTACATGAGGGCCTGAGGCTTTGTTTTGTTTTATGCACTTACATTCTGGATTCTGAGAACTGTGATTTGCCTTTGGTTGGAAGACAGGCACCTGTCTAAGGAGTCTGGAGAGGTCACTGGGCTTTCACAGGAAACACAGACCATACCTCCCTGCAGAAGGGACAGTGTGGTGTTTCCTTCACTCTGGTGGCCTCTGCAGTTTCTTGGTAATATTTCCGTTAAGGTTTCCCTTAGTGTCCTTTGCACACGCCCTGAGTGTGTTAGAGAGGTGCTGTGCAGTTGATCACCATCCACGAGGTGTAAGTGCTGCTGATGTTTCCCCAGTGCTATCTCCACGCTCGCCCAGGCCTTCCTTGGCCCGCTGGCCTTGGTTCTTGGCACTGGGTGGCCCCAGGCCCCGAGAACCTCACCAGAGCCTTTCAGTTGTCAGCGGGGTGGTGCATGTCCCTTATCTGTCCAGCTTTGTGTGGGGCAAAGCTGAGTGAGAGAGGAGAGCTGTGGCTGCCTGCCATGCAGGACTAGGTTTTGGGTTACTCTGTTTCATTAAATAAATTGCTGCTAGTGTGTCACCTGATTCTGTCAGCCCTTCACATTGAAACTCAGGGTGATCTTTGCACCTCTTTTCTTCTTGGGAAGGAGAGTGGGCCATGAGATTGAGCCCGCAGGTTGGCGTACGAGCCATCTGCTCCCAGCAGTTGAGTATTCTTCATGCTGTGGGTTCTAGAAGGATTTGCCAGAACTATCAGGGCTGCTGAGGCCTTGTTTAGTGAGTAGTGCCAGGGTGGGCACGCAGCCTTCCTTGTAGGAAATGGCCAAGGCACAGGCAGGAGGGGCAGCTGCAGGAAGTGCTGCATACGTGTCTCTTCCTCGCCACAGCTGGGCTTTCTCCTGCCAGCTCTGGCTCTGTCCTGACCTCGCAGGCCCTTTGTCTTCAGGAGCTGTGTCCCAGAGTGCGTCCCGTGCCCTGACCTCAGTCTGCTGTGGCTCTCATGTGTCTCTGCTGCCTCTCCTCGATTCCTACATTGACCGGGGATCTTTTGGAAACCTTTGCAGATACCTTGGCATCTTTCCTGTTTCCTTGTTGCTTTTGGAGCTTCTAAGGAGGGAAAGGGAAAATGCTGAGAGCACACAGCTGAGTTCCTACTGAGAGTCACACCTGGTCCTCATCGCCATCCCCTGGGGATGCTGCTCCCCAGTCTCTTGCTGTTGGACTCCACCTTGCATGCCTCGCCCAGACCCCAGACCCAGGGTTCCTGTCGGATGGAGAAGGGTTAGCCCCACGTGATGGCTCCTGTCACTTTAGGGCCTGTCGAGAACTTGATCTTAACTAAATGACTTCCAGAGAAGTGTCTCAATGCCTGTGGTCCTGTCTGTGGCTGTGTCTGTTCTTCAGGAAGGTCGAAATGTGTTTAACTGTCGTTTCATCTTTTTTCTTTGAATATGGCTCGGTACCTGTTCTTTCTTCTCCCTGACACCCACATGATGGTGAGCCTCTTCTCTACATTCGTTGGCTGAGCTTAATAAAACCATTAAAAATGTCACTGGAGAAACCCCAAATATCAAGCGGAGTTCGGCTAAGATGTTTCAGCCAGTCTGCCTTGAATTTGATTTGAATTGGCTGCATGTTTAAGTAGATCTCTTGTTTGCCTGATGATGCATCTACGTTTTGACCTCACGGAAACTGAAATTATGGAGTGAGAACAAGAGAATTCTGTAGAGATTTGTTCTCTACGTAAGACTGGTGCTGTGGGGATCATATTCTTAAAACCGTACACAAATGGGTTTGGTAATGTAGGTAGGGTTAGAAATCTTAACTTCTCATCTGGCATTCCCAAAACTTAACCTTTTCCTTATAGAAAAACAACAGACAGACAAAAATCTGTCTCTTTTCCATTCTTAACCTAAGAAGACCACAGTATACTTTGAACTCTAAACTGTTTTCACCAAAGTCAAGTGAGGGACTTGGCTTACAAGCTGTTGGTCACTTTGTGGTTTCGGGTGCCCCTTTCTGTTTTGGAGCCTTGCTATGAAGCTGCTCTCTGTGTCTCTTTGTGGGTGTGTCACCTAGGGTTCTCTTCTCCCTGGGTGTGTGAGCTTAGGGTCTGCATCTCTCTGTGTGTCTGTAAGCTTAGGGTCTGCATCTCTCTGTGGGTATGTGAGCTTAGGGTGCTTACCTCCACCCCGCCTCTCTCTGGCTGTGTAAGCAGTGATCTCTTGGCTCTGTGATCCCCTTCACGGGGCTTGATCCTGGAATCTCACCTGTTGCTTAGTGTTTGGAGGGTCCCTCGAGTTTGGAGGGTCTGTGTCCTCTGCTGAGGGGACATGGACGAGCCCCGCAGGCTCCGCCTAGCTTCTCTGCACTAGGAGGACACACAGGGCCTCCTCCGACTTTGTCTTCGCAGTTCAGAGTGCTGGGTTGGCAGGGAAGTTACAAATAAATTGAAGCGTGAAATACACACTTCCTGTGTGAAGTGGGATCAGTATCGATGCTAAATTTTACCACTAGGGAAATGTGCATGTTTCACAGTAGGAAGATTAATCAACCATTGTTGTGTGTTTGTTGTGTATTTCTCAGCTCTGAGACCTTGGAAGGCAGTGAGCTCCTCGCCCTGAGGACTCGCCAGCAGTGCTGCCATGCTCTTTGCAGATCTAGGGGCCATGTCCTCCTTTCTGACTGCCGGCAGAGACCCTTTCCTGCACGTCCACGGCCTGCCCTCTCAGTCCTGGCAGTGACAAGTACAGTGGTCCTGGCCACCTGGTGGCCAGCGCCCTGCAGCTGTGCCTTCGCTTCTCTCAGGTCAGCAGCGAAGGTGTTGGCAGAAAGTGACTGTCTCGTGTTAGAGCCTCACTTAATAGTTCTCAAGTGTTCCTCTGGTATCCAGTCTGGCGATTGGTTATGTTTATAGTTGAGTTTTCAGGGTTTAACTCAGCAAGTATAACTTTGTCTACGGATGGGACAGACTTATGCTTGGACAGAAGCAGTGTTTTCTCTGCTGTGGTTTCATTAGAACCTGCACATAAGGAGACAGAACCTCAGGTGGCATGTGCAGCCCGCCCGCCACCTGGGGAGGTGGAGTCTGCAGGCTGGTAGGGACCTGGCGGAGGCATTCACGTGGCCTCACTGTGCCGCTGTCGCTTGCTTAGAAAGGTTTTAGAATTGTGAGGTGGAAGCATTGCTTTAAATACCAGCTTGGAAGGGGAACTTGGGTGGTGAAAGCATAGCTGGAAAGCGTGTATTTCCCAGGCATCCTTGGGGAAACTCTAGTCGTAAGGCAGTCAGTGATTTGAGAGATAGAATCACATTAAGAATCATGTTGGTTTTCAGTCTGTTTGGCTTTATGTTAAGGAAGGAATGATTGAGGAAAATCATCGCAGAACCTGAGGAGGGTTGCATGGTGTCCGGTAAGCCCGAAAAAGTGCGTTGGATTCTGTCTAAAATGATAGGCGGAAGACGAAGGCCACCTGGGTCGCTGTGTGCAGTGTGTACTTTGTTTTTGGCTGAATTCTTTCGAGGTTCTAACACAGGAGGCAATTTCCACGCCAGTCACCTGCCAGGTGTATGGGATGAGTGTACTTTTAAGGCTGGGCCCTGCATGTGTCGACGTGGAGCACATGAAGTGAGAATATTGTACCCCAACGTCACATGGCGTCTCCCCTGCAAGACGTGGAGAAGGCCTTGTTCTCCTGTCCCTGTGTGCCACGGCACGTGCTGGTGACCACTTCCCAAATCAGCCATTAGTTGCTGTATGTGTGCTGTATATCGCTTGTGTGAATCGTGCCCGTTTGGAAGTGGACCCTTGACATCAGTTCCTCTAACTGGGGCTCCTGGGGAGCTCACCACGCCACAGAAGAACTGCTTCCCATGTGCCTGAGGTCACAGTGTGCCTGCACTTGGGAGTCTTGAAGAGACAGCTTTAGGGCCCGAGGGAGATTCGCTGTGTGAGTGGGCTCTTAGCCTTTTACTGTCCTAAGTGAAGACTGCGTGGCCAGTGAGGTGGCCACGGTGTCTGCCCTGGTTGCGATGCACTTGCCTGACAGAGTGATGCAGCCAAAGGAACTCATGGGCTGAGGGTGCTGCTCCACTCGGTGGTGCAGTGCACGCTTAGTGTGCACGAGGCCTCCGCGCCCCCCGGTAACGCATTTCTCTGGGGAGGGTGATTTACCATGGGCCAGAAGATGACCACAGCATGGCTCTTGCTTTCAGAGAACTTTAGGTTTTAAAGTGTCACAAGGAACTAAGAAGTAAAAGCCTTATGGAAGCTTTCAGTTGACAATTGAGATTTTTTTTTTAAGATAGCCTTCACTGCTTTTCAGGTGCTGATCGCCCTTTTTGATAGTGTATTGCTAATTAAACTTACAATAACTCTTTAGTTTTAAGTAAGAATTGTATTGACTTGGTGGAACATTGTAATGGAAACTTCTTTTGAGCAATTGCCCTGAAATGACTGAAGAAATGAAAATGCCAACTGGGAAAGGAGGAATGGATTGTGAAGATTACACTGCACGGAACTAGATTTGGTTGATTTTCACTGCAAACCCTGCAAAAGGAAATGGGAAGTGAATTGGTGGGTTTTAAAGCAAGACTGGTGGAAGTGGGATGGGTGGGGACTGTCACCCCATCCCTACCCCCATCTGCATCCTGCCTCTGTCCTGGTGGAGCTGGGATAGGTGATTTGGTCACCATGGTACTGACCCAGGGGAGGCCCCCGGGAGGCAGGGCTTAGCTGGAGGTGCAGGGCTGGAGGTTGGAAGGCAGGCACAGCCCTGTGCTGGGCCTTCTGCAGTCTGTGCCTGTGTCCCTGGCCCAGCACCAAATCCAGGCCGGTCTGGCAGGGAACATCATCTAGCAGGGACACTTAGCTGCCAAGGGCCTGGCACTTGGAGACCTGTCTTCTGTTTTGCCCGAATTTGAGTTTGAACAGACTTGTTTAATTTTTCACTATTTTTAAGATATCTTCTAAAAAGGTCTAAATGCAGGCTATCAGGCCATAGGTGGGAAGGGCATGGGACGCAGTAGATGCCCGGGCACCGAGTTCCATTCCTCCTGCAGCTGCACCTCCACACACGAGTGGTGGGTGGGAGAGGGCAGCACCTGTCCTGAGCCAAGTAGTGGAACTGAGCACTGCCTCGACACAGGATTGACAGAAATGGTGCTGAGTGCTCTGAGAGAGAGAGGGACGCCCTGCAAGCGCCCCATCCCCTGCCCAAGTACTCCCTTGGGAGTCCTCTGTAAGGATCTCCATTTAAACTGAGGGCAAGCTGAGTGATTTGGGGACAGGACTTAAAGCCCAGTAGAGCTTGATGACTGCCTGTCCTGTACCCATTGTCAGGGCATGTGTGTCAGGCCATGTTGGTGGTCACTCGCTCTCATGTCACACATGGTGTGCAGTGTTGCAGGGCATGTGTCATAGATCTTGATGGCTCCATGTCCTCCAGGGCCTCTGCTGTCCAGTGCAGTGACCTCTGGTGGCCATATAATTGAATTGGGTGAAATCAAACGAGAAGCAAAGTGTTCTGTGTGTGCTGGCTCCACTCCATGTGCTCAGCAGCAGCATGAGACGGCGATAGTTTTGAGGAGCACATGGGCAGCGTCCTGCTCAGTCCAGAGAGTTCTTGCTGATGTGGAGCACAGCAGTGTCTCCATGTGGGAAGGGCAGATCCATTGCAGGCCCTGCCCAGGTCCTTCTGCAGTTGAGACGAGGCCCCCACTCTGCGCCCCCATGGCTCTGCACTGGGACCAGTGGCCACATGGACCTGGGGCCCCGCTGCAATCTTGGTGGCTGCTGACGAGGTTCAGGACAGCACGTGGAGGCAGGAGCCTCCTGGCCAGGCTGGTGGCGACACCAGTCAAGTTGCTTAGCTCTGCGTAACCTCTGGTCTCATCTGTAAATTGTGGGTGATGTGCCGGCCCCTCAAGATTGCCACAGTAAATGGAATTTTAAAAGATACTTAGCATGGTGGGGGTCGTTTGAATATTTGTAGCAATAGCAGCGGTGCCAGTGATGCTTGGAGACATCCTTTTCTCTCTTTTATTCTTCATCTCTCTGTCGTTTTGCATTACTCTGTTTGCTTTTTTGCTTTGTGCGTTTTTGTTCTGATTTAGGAGTCCACCATAACTGAATGACACCAGAGAGTAAAGAATTCCCTCTCCCCTGATTGCCATAGTACAGTGAGCAGTGAGTGCAGAACGAAATGAAACCCTGTGAAGGCTCAGGGAAGCCCAGCCCCTTTCCCTGGTCTTTACGAGGCCGCTGTAATGCACAGGGCACCGCTGCAGAAGTACATGCTGCCAATGGCACTGCACCCGGCCCCACGCAGCACCCCAGACCATCCCAAGAGCTCCACCAAGGAGCCCTGATGGTTGTGTGTGTTTACTTCGGCAGCAACAAAGGAGAGAGCGGGAGGTCAGGAGGCAGCAGGAACGTGAGCAGCGGAGGCGAGAACAGGAGGAGAAGAGGCGACTGGAGGAGCTGGAGAGGAGGCGTAAAGAGGAGGAGGAAAGGAGACGGGCGGAGGAGGAGAAGAGACGTGTGGAGAGGGAGCAGGTGAGTTCACAGCCGCAGAAAGCGCTCCAGCCTGCAGTGGTGTCCTGCGCAGTGAGTTGATTGTGTGGCAGGTGCTTTGGATAGACATAGCTTTTCCTGCTGTCCCTGGAGAACAGATGAGTGTGACTTGGTCTTTCCAGCCAGGATTCAGTTCTGTCTTTTGTGACGAGGCGCTGGGCTCCCAGGCCTTTCCTCAGTGGCCGGGCGAAAGTGCGCAGCCCTCGCAGAGGCAGCTGTTGGCTCAGCGTGGCAGAAAGGGACCCTGGATCTGGGTTGGGCCTCTGGGAGTGGCTTTGGGAATCAGCTCCCGGCAGATTGGCACTCTCAGCTTGGTTTTCTTTGCCAGATTAAGCTTCCCAAGGGTGTCTGCATGGTATCTGCTGCCCAGTGGCCTCCTGACCAGAATTGTTGGTTCATTTAAACTCCAGCTGGCATCTGTCGGGGGCCACTGGTGTGTTCGGTGTGTGTAGAACAGGCCAGGCAGGTGGCAGAAGTGCTATAAAACACAACCTGGATTTCAGGATCAGATTCTTTAGGTGCCCGTGGTCTACTTTCCTTCTGGGGCAAGAAATTAGCTTTTTTTCCTGTCAAAAAAGAAGAGTCTTTACTCTAAAATGTTTCTTTCTCTTTAAAATTATTTTCTTCTGCTCTCCCCCTTTTTGCTGTTCCGAGTCCCTTCGTGGCTGTGCCCTGTTTGAGCCCCAGACTCTCCAAGAGTGTGAGGTGTGTGACCTAGCAAATGGGAGCTCAAGAGGCTGCTGGTCACGGAGCGGCCTCAGGAGCTGGGGCCAAGGCCTCCTGGTCTCCTCGCCTCTGTAACACGCAGGCAGGCAGCTGCGAGTCGGGGTCTTTGCCTCTCTGCGTGCGGGCGGAATCCCGGCAGTGCTTGCCGTTTTCATTGTTGGCAAGTTAATCATTCTTCTCACTGGAGAACACCATCCGTGTACACATGTACACACACACACACACACACACACACACACACACACACACACACACACACAAAAGTGCATACTGAGAACCCAGGCCTGTTTCTGTGCAGGGAGTTACCTGTTCTTCATGCCTTGGCTTTCAGGATGTTGTCATTTCCGGGACCTCTGAGTCGTCAGTGAAAGCACAGTATTGTTTGTGGTTTCTAAAGTTTAAAGTTTCAAAACTGGATGGCGAGCCAAGCTTGTTAGAAATAATGACTGATCATAGGTATCTACTAGCGGGCACCCTCTGACACTTTAGTTGAACCCTAATTTCCCTGCATCCTTATGAAAAAGGCTCTTTTAAAGTTCTGCCTAGAAGCTGACGGTGGTGTCACAGCAGAGACGCTGCAGAGGCCTGGGTGTGGATCACTGGGCTGCATGAGGCGTTTGGGTCCTACTGGCCCGTCTGGAGTAGCTGGGAGTCGCTAACAGCAGATCGAGTATAGATGAACTCCTCACTGCTCAGGGACTCTTCGCTGAGGTGGTGGGGCCATGATGTGAGGTGCTCCATGCAGGGGTTCCGGTGCTTTCCTTTGGGGAAGATTGATCACTGGGTAATTTCTGTGTGACAGGAGTATATCAGGCGACAGCTCGAGGAGGAGCAGCGGCACCTGGAGATCCTTCAGCAGCAGCTGCTCCAGGAGCAGGCCATGTTACTGGTAACGCCCCGTCCCTGTCCCATTCCCCAGCGCTAGGGCTTGGGCTCCTCGTCCCTCCCCCCTAGTTGGCCAGTTCTGGTGATTGCCACACCCTTCTGGTTTTGCTCTGGGCAGCCAGGCTCAAACTGAGTCGTGCACTCTTGGGCAGAGTACAAGGTGGCTCTTGTTCACTCATTTACTGCCCGCTATCAAGCCACCCCCTCTTGTCCTGGAGCTGGGCCAGTTTAGGACAGAGTGCGGTGAGTGCACTAGATGCCCAGGGCCACAGCAGCAAAGCTCGTGCAGAGGGAGTTGGACTGAGTGTATGCGCCCCGAAACCCACCCAAGTTCAGTTCTGTCTCACTCTGTCCCGTGGTGTCTTAGCCAGCACCGTGAGATTTTCCCAGGTAATAATGCTGCTTAAAATCCCAGCTGTTTCGCCTTGTTATAAAATGTGGTGGAAACATGTTGTGTTTAAGGAGAAGTCGAGCATGAATCCGAGCAGGGGTGTGTGCTCCCATGCCGAACATTCAGTGTTCTCTTCCTCTCCAAGGAGTGCCGCTGGCGGGAGATGGAGGAGCACCGGCAGGCAGAGAGGCTCCAGAGGCAGTTGCAACAAGAACAAGCATATCTCCTGTCTCTACAGCATGACCACCGGAGGCCGCCCCCGCAGCACACGCAGCCGCCCCAGCCCCCGCTGCAGCAGGAGCGGAGCAAACCGGGCTATCACGCTCCCGAGCCCAAGCCGCACTACGACCCTGCAGACAGAGCCCGAGAGGTATCTGAGTCCTCCTGCGCCTGGCCCGGGCTCCATGTGGGGGTGATCTCTCCAGCTAGTGGGGGACTTGCCCTAGCTCCCCTGTCTAGACATTGGGAGTGCCTCGCCGGCAAATCTCAGAAGAGTGTGTGTCCAGTCATTTGCGAAATGTAAATGTGAATGGTCTGCCCTGACTCACGTTGTAATTGTCAAAAGACTAGGAGGAGCATAAGCCTCGGTTTGGTCCCCTTTGCTGTGGATGTGGCCCAGTGTGACCAGGCAGGCCGGCCTGGGTCCTGGCTTGTGTCATTCTGGCCTGTAGGTGGCGCCCTCTTGCCAGGCTCTCCAGCGAGCTTGCGGCTGTCCCCAGGCCTTTACTGTGGGAGGCATAAAGCCGCTTCTCATCTGATGGTTTAGTTGGTTGTGACAGATTACACACAGTGAAACTGGAGAAAGCAGCCCCCAGACTCGGCATAGAGGAGATCTTCAGGTCTACGTGGCTTAATTTTGCCTTCAGAAGCATTTTCTTTCCTTGGATCCAATCCTGGCCCTGCTTTCTCTGTCTCTTCCCCTGCTGCCTGCCTTGTAGCGGAAGGAAACGGGGAACTTTTTATAGAGCCCTTCTACTTTGGAGCTTGCTTCAGCACCTGCAGCTTTCCTTCTCCTACTAACCCAGAGTTCTTCTTCTAATTCTCCGATGCAGGTGGAAGATAGATTTAGGAAAACTAACCACAGCTCCCCCGAAGCCCAGGCTAAGCAAACAGGCAGAGTATTGGAGCCGCCAGTGCCTTCCCGGTCAGAGTCTTTTTCCAATGGCAACTCCGAGACTGTGCACCCCGCCCTGCAGAGATCAGCGGAGCCGCAGGTAGCGCAGTGCCCAGCTGGCCGGGGAGGAGGCCCTGGGCTGGGCCCACTTGTGAGGACAGTGGCAGATCGGTGTCACTGGAGGAAGGGATGTGGGGCAGCTGGAGGTGGCCAGGACGTGCCCATTACAGGAAGGGAGGGTCTCTTCTGAGCTCATTAAGAACTCGCAGTCTGCTGCCTTCCCTGACTCATAGGAAGTACCTCCTCCTAAAGTAACGTTTTCATAGCTGAGCTCTTAGAGGGTTGCTGTCCTGCACAGACAGAGGAGAAGCGGGACCAGATGTCCCAGCATGGTAAACCCACAGCCCACCTGGATCCCTGGTCCAGGCCGAGCGTCCCAGCAGGCCCTAAAACAGAGGAGGATCCCAGAACTTGTATGTAGGGTTTTCAGATTTGTCTAAATGTGCATAGTTTTCAGGAAAAGGAACCATTTATCAACTTCTGGAGGAGTTCAAACCTGAAACAATGTATTCCTGGCTCTAAGCTCGGGTTCTCATGGGGGTCAGGGCAGAGGTCATGGCCACGCCTTGCTGAGGGAGGGCACCCAGGGGCAGCAGTCGCCCAGCTGAAACAGTTGCCACCAGCATAGTGTAGACTCCTCCTGGGTGCTGGGTGATCTGCCCTGCTGGGTGTTTTTGTGGGAGGAACAAAAGCTTGGGTTCTTGAGCTGGAAATAGCAGGGGTGCTCGGAAAAACAGGCCAAGAGGGCTGGAACCAGTTCTGCAGTATATGACTCCCTTGGACAGGGGCCCTACAGCGAGGAGGAGCAGGAGCACGGCCACAGGAGCTGGCCAGCCTGCAGCCAGGCAGCACCAGAGTGAGGGTGGAAGAGGGGAGGAGAAGCAAGGCCCCAGGAAAAGCTGGCCGACGCCTTTGTTTTGATGACTTTGATTATTTATCAATATAGGTGGATAGACTGATCTATTGATTTTGGTTCTGGGGATCAAACTCATGACCTTGCACTTGCCAGGCAGGCACTGTGCCACTGAGCTAAATCCCTGGCCCACAGGTGGATTTAAAGAGTTTTGATTTTGGAGGTTAGACCTGAGACAAACAGAAAACCTCTGTGGGGTTCCCAGGTCTCATCGACTTAGGACTCATTAATATGGCACCTGGAAATAGCCTCCCCTGCCTGCTTTATTTGGAAGTTGCTTTTGGCTGGGAACATTCTTTGAGGGAAACTTAGCTCACAAGGTACTGTATTTTAAATTCCATTATAATTTTAGGAAATAGTTTCATTTATTTTTTTGCTTACAAAACTTGATGCAGATATCTGGGATTGTACTAAACAGTGAAATCATTTGACTCACCTGAAAATCACAGAAAACAGAGCTGGAACTATGTCTCACATTAAAACACATCATGATTTGGTGTTTGTAGTTGAATGCATCAACATAATAGGTATATAGCTAGAATTATGTAAATTTCAGTGTTGAACAAATATTTTAAAACAGTAGAGTTAAATGGAAGTATTACAGATTATTTCAGAGATTGTTTTCCTGGTTTATAAGCGACCAGACAAACTCAGTTGACGAGGACTTAGCACATTTCTTGAGTTGTCAGTGAGTTAGTTCGGTCAATTAACAGCAGTGTTTTCACTCACTGTGGTGCTATTTTAAAGGAATAAGAGTTCTTTTTCTCATTACACGCAATGAAGGTACTGGGTAGATCCAGGTTACAAATGTTTCAAACGTTGGAAGAAAAGAGGAAAATCGTTGGTCTGTGTGAACACAGCACTGAGCAGTCACTCTGGAGAAGGCGGGCCTGGTCTTTGCCCCGGCTTGGGCGGCTGCTCAGAGCGGAGCCTGGCACTGCGGTCTCCGGCCCAGGACGGGGAAGGGTGGAGGGCGGTGCTGTCTCTGTCTCGTGGTCTCCCTGCCTTCTCCACCTCAACGTGGACCCCACACGGCTCCTCGGCCCCGTGGAGGCCCGCAGGCTCTGCGCTCACTGCTCCTGTGCTGTGTGTCTGCGTATGGGCAGGGTTCTCACTGTGCACATGTGCTCCCTCCTCCTGCTGTGCCCCTCAGCCACCTCCGTGCCATCGGCGCTGCACTGCCCTCGGCTCGCATTACACCTCTGTCACTTCCTGCTTCGGACTTGGTATTTCCTGCAGACCCATTGAATGTTTGTGTTTTGTTCTCTCGTAAGGTACAGTGGTCCCACCTGGCGTCTCTCAAGAGCAGTGTTTCCCCTGTCTCGCGATCCCATTCCTTCAGCGACCCTTCTCCTCCCAAATTCGCACACCACCATCTTCGTTCCCAGGACCCATGTCCGCCTTCCCGCAGTGAGGCGCCCAGTCAGAGCTCCGACCCTAAGTCGGAGGGGCCCGACCCCGCCCCAAAGGCTTGGTCTAGAGCAGACAGTGACGAGGTGCCTCCACGGGTAAGGAGCAGACGGACGGGTGCCTGCCTTTCGCTTTGTCCTTCTGAATGTGACATGGTGGATTCTGGGCATGGAGTCACTCGGGTTGCAGGGGCAGTGACGCTGGAAGAGGCTTTTCATGGTGGGGGGAAGTTCTGCAATTAGGCAGTTTTAAGCAGCAGTGGTCAGTTAGCTTTTTATTTTGCTAGTGCTGTGCTTGAAACATAGAGCAGCAAAGAGCGTTAGGAGAAGAAAGTTATAAAGAATATGCTTCTGCAGCAAGTAGAGTCATGGCTCGTGTTTTACAGGAGCTATTATTTTACACGTCGATACGAGTTTTCAGGAATGGTCTTGCAAGGAAAATCTGAAAGGAATGTTATTTTTCCCTTTTAAATTAAAGGGGTTTCTGTTGATCACTTAACAGTGAAATCACACAAAGGGCATATTTTGATGTGTTTTTCCCGCACTTGGAATTTGCTTCCTCCAAGTACCATCTTGCTTGCTGCCAGTCTGCTTCCTGCGATCCATTCCGAGGTTATTGTGGTTTCCTCATCCTCACATGACCTCAGCGAGTCCCTGCCACTGGCTTCGGTGTACACATGTCCCGGCTCCTTGGCTGCTTTGGACCACATTTCCTTCCCGCGTTTTGTCCATGGAGCCCTGGGGAGGGGGCCCCGGGGGGATAGCAAGGCCTGTTTAAACTGTGTTTCGGGGAGATCTTCACTGAGTGCCTGCAGTAGTTTAATTGTTGCATCTTCTCCCTGAAGGTTCCTGTAAGAACAACATCTCGCTCCCCTGTCCTGTCCCGTCGCGATTCCCCACTGCAGGGCAGTGGGCAGCAAAACAGCCAAGCAGGACAGAGAAACTCTACCAGGTGAGAGGGCAGGAAGGGCAGGGGCAGGGTGCGGGGCTGTCCCCTGCTAGTCCTTTGTCGTCCATTTGATAATTGTGCTCATAAACACGAAAGCCCCGAGTGCAAGGAGATGAGCCTTTCTGTGTCTCTAAGGGCTGATGATGCGCAGGTGCAGCTGACCTGCAGTAAAAGGTATCTGTCGTCATCGGGAAACAAATCCTGCCTGTCTGCAGCAGTGAGGGGAGAGGCACTGGGAGTGGAGGGCTCAAGGGTGTCAGGTTTGACGGAGCTTTCTGTCTCAGAGGATGCCATGAGGCCTTGCAGTCTAGAATCCTGGGCAGGTCCTGGGGAGAGGGCGCAGCTGTCTGGTGGCCTGCAGTGGGCTCGTGAATCACCAGATCAGGCCATTTTCAAGTTCTAGAGCAGCTCAGTTAAATGCAGGAGCTGTTGGGCACCTGAAGCTTCTAAAGTTTGAGTTTCACTTAATTAAAATGAAATAAAAGAGCACTTTATTCTCTTGGGCCACGAGTGGCCAGCAGTTGCAGAAAGCAGCATTCTGCAGCCTGTCCTAGGGAAGAAGAAACATGAGTTGTGTTTGGTAACTTGACTGTTACTGGGCCCTCGAGCTGGCCGCTGCAGTGCCCTCCGTGCAGTAGGGCCATCAGCGGGGCGCTACCCCTGTGGCTGCACAAGCCCAAACTCTGGTAGCCAGGACACGTGGGCTATGCTGCTCTTGGGCCACACACCAGTCCCTCTCTGCTCAAAGGGGAGAACTTGGGAAGTTAGGGGTGAGAAGACAGTACCATGTGTGATGTGCCAGTATAGGTATTTTCATAGTACTAGGGATCGTGTTTGCCGCTGTGTTGGGATCTGGATGGAACTGTCAAGGTTTGGCCCATGCTTGATGAGAACTTTGGGTGTGCTCGTGGCAGGAGATTAGGTTCCTTAGGATAGCTTCGATAGAAACCCGTGGATGACGGCATCATACCTGTGGGTGGATTCAGTGCTGCTTGTGGGCTACTTTCTCCTTGCATTGGGAAGCTCATACTTGTGATTGGAATTGGGCACCATGTCTTGGGACCAAGCAGTGACTGTTGTTCTCCTTTCCTAACAGCAGCATTGAGCCCAGGCTCCTGTGGGAGAGAGTGGAGAAGCTGGTGCCCAGACCTGGCAGTGGCAGTTCCTCAGGGTCCAGCAACTCTGGGTCCCAGCCTGGCTCCCACCCCGGCTCCCAGAGCGGCTCTGGAGAGCGCTTCCGAGTGAGATGTGAGCTCCCCTCCTCAGCTTTTCCTGTGCTCTTGTCTGGAGAGGGAAGGCCTGCGGGATGGCTGCGTGTCACAAACGATGCTTTAGATCGCTAATGACGTGTGGAACTGTAAGCAGCAGGGGCTACATGGAGAGTTTACACTCCTGCACTGTGAGCATCGGTAGTTGGGTGTGATTAACTGACTTGCCCAAGCTCAGCAGCTGAAGGTCCGAGCTGGGATGTGAACTTGCTTTTCCGGGATGACTTCTAGGGCCTGTGCTGTCATTGCCCCTGGTCGTAGATGATGGGCCATTCTGCTGTGTGGCATCATGAGACATCATGAGATGTGCTCAGTAGAGTGTGCCGTGTGGAAGACTGGGTGGAATGTTGGGAGGCTGCTCAGCACCCCTGGCACACCCTTGCCTGCTGCCCCGAGGCTGAGACCTGCAGGATTGCAGCTGATGTGAAGGGAGCAGGCCATCTGGGGCCTGCGGCAGCTCCAGATGCACACCAGTGTTGATGTGTCCCCTTTCTGCCTCTTCCTTGACAGCGTCATCTAAGTCAGAAGGCTCTCCATCTCAGCGTCTCGAAAATGCAGCAAAAAAACCTGAGGATAAGAAAGAAGTGTTCAGAGCCCTCAAGCCTGCTGTAAGGACTGGCACAGCTGTTTCTTTCCTGGCTTGAGTGAGACCTTTCTATTACAGATGTGGTCAAAGAGCTGGGCTGTGTCTCAGCGGCAGAGCACCTGCCGCGAGGCCTAGGGTTGGGGCCCCAGCTAGGCAGAAAGGACAGCAGGTAGCGAGACCTGCAGCTCCTGCTGCTGACGCCTCCTAGGTGAGGGGAACCATGGGGGTCACCCTGTACCCCACGCTTCTTCTCTCCTGTTCCTACGAAAGGCCCTCAGGGGACTGAGATAGACCTCTTTCTAGCATTATAACTGTACGCTTTGTATTCAGTTGCTTCACAGAACAGAGAGGGATAGTTTTTCCTTACAAGGAAACAATAAAACTATGCAAGAAAGAAAAGCCTTCTTACTGCTTCGCTTGATGCTAACGTATTTTGAAAGTGCATTAACTTACTCCAAAAGAGTTTGGGGCCTCCTCGAGAACTGGGGCTTAAGGCCTGCACCACCCTGCCCAGCAAAGTTTTATTTGTTTACAAAAATCACCTGCTTAAGTTTTGCCTCTCGGTCCTTGGGGGACACCGGCTGCCTGTACTTGCTTTTACTCCCTGTCCCACAAGTGGCCATGTAGCTGCTCGAGTTGTGGGGTTTTAAGCTTCTCCAAACTTTGATTTCCTGCTTGAACTGATCTCTGCACTTCTCCCCCTTGGCTTTCTCCTGCCTCGCTCCCCTGTCTGTGTGTTGCTGGACACCCCGAACTGCTGCCGTCCTCAAGAGTGAAGTGGTAAGCCCCTCCCTCCCCCGTCCAGGCCGAGCCACCTGCCAGGGTGGGCCTCCCGGCCCGGCCTTCTCTCACGGCTTACCCACACATCTCACCTCGGGTTTAAAACCCCGAAGTTCTCTGGCTTCACTTTGTGTGTGCACAGATCTGCTGCCCTTCATTACCTGCATCATGATTGTTGAATGTGGCTTTTCTGAACCATTGTTTAGAGGACTGCAGCTGTAAACTTGGAAGTGTTTAGAAAGACCTGTGGCCTTACATCTGGTAACCCGTGACCAGAGCTAAGAGTAAATACACCCTCAGAGCAGTGGAGAAAAAAGAAAACTGTTGGAACTGCTGAAACTAAGGGAACAGACTACATAGCTTTCTAAAAGAAATCACTACTTTTAAGTAGTGTTTGAGACAGGGTCACGCGGTGCGGGTTTCCTGTGACCCTGCACTCCTGTGCAGCCCTGGCTACCTCCAGCTCAGTTCCTCCTGGTGCATCTTCCCTGCCACTCAGGGCACTGATGGGAGTCCCACAGTGTCTCGGGGGAAGAGGGAAGGGCAGAGAAGCCCTTTGAGTCAGTCGTAGTGAGGATTATTTTTCTTCCTGTTCTAGTGCTCGCTGGCCCAAGCCGAAGCGAGGCAGAGTGAGGCCACCCACTCGCCTGCTCACGGCACGGGGCACCCACGCCCTCCTGGTCTTAGTGGTTAGGAGCCATGGGGCTCATTTCACACTTCTGTATGCCTGGGATTTTCAATAAAAGCTGGAGGAAAACTTAAAAAATTTTAACCCCACTTGTTTCAACTAAAGCTTGTTTCTCATCGAAGCCCAGCAATCTGTCTATGCTGTGTTTTGTTTCTGTTTTCTTGAGACAGGGTCTCACTCTGTAGTCCTCTCTGGCCTTGAACTCACTATGTAGATCAAATTGACATACTCACAGCGATCCTCATGCCTCAGCCTCCCAAGTGCTAGGATTACAGGCACACCACCCCACCTGGCTATGTAGTTTTGGATGTAGAATTTTACCTCGCATTTGGAAAAAAAACCAGAAGCCTGCTGTCAGCTTCTATGCTGATTGCTGTGTCACAGCGAGATTTCAGTTGTCCACATCATCTTTGGGTTTTGCTGGTTTTAGGGTGTATTTTAAAAATCTCTCTTGACTGTTTGACCACTGTTATGTGAAACCAGCAGGGACTCAGCAGTTTTGGGAAGAACGCGGGTGTCCTGGCAGTGCACTGGGAAAGTGCCCCCTACCGCCCCATGCTGATTTCCCTCTATCGTGGGCCCTAGGACCTGACTGCACTGGCCAAAGAGCTGCGCGCAGTGGAGGACGTTCGGCCACCCCACAAAGTGACGGATTACTCATCCTCCAGTGAGGAGTCGGGGACGACAGACGAGGAGGACGACGAAGGGGAGCACGATGGGGCTGAGGAGTCCACCTCGGGGCCCGAGGACACCAGAGCAGTGTCAGTGCTTGCGTCCCACTGTCCCTGAGTCATGAATGGTCCTGCTGGCCTCACCCAGGACGTGGCCTTACACTCCAAGCACTTAGGATTTTCATCAAGGATGAGATAGGGGCCCTGTGTGGTGTAACGATTGTAATTGACCAATAAATCTCTGTGCCCTTTTTTGCCACAAAACAAACCAGGCGTCCATTGTGGCAGGGACAGATCTGAGCCTTTCAGGGGCTCTCTGCCCCCCAGCCCCAGGGTGAGGTGTAGTGTGTCCTCTGCCCCCAGGCTGGGCACCTCACCCCAGGACTTGCCCCGTAGGTCGTCCCTGAACCTGAGCAACGGCGAGACGGAGTCAGTGAAGACCATGATCGTGCACGATGACACGGAGAGTGAGCCGGCCCTCACGCCGTCCAAGGAGGGCACACTGATTGTGCGCCAGGTACCTGAGTGGCCAGTGTGGTGTCAGGCCGGGCTGCTCCTATGTCATTAACCCACTGGCTCATCCACTCACTCACGCTGTTTCTCCATCCTCATCTGTTCTCACGGCGAGCCCCAGGGCGCGCGGCCAGGGCAGGGTCTTGGTAGCCTCCACCCCCATCATGCGCCCTGCATGCCCGCGGCAGTCTTCATGCCAGCACCACGCTGAGTCTCATGGTCTGTGTCTGAGTGGCGGGAAGGCCAGGGAGCCCTGAGGGCAGGCGCACAGAGGGCGCCCGGGGCTCCCCCAGAAGCCTGGTTCCCCGTGCTGAGGGGTGTGATGGTGGCCACTTGGGCAGGGCGGGCCTCTCCTGTGCCCGGCCCCAGAGACTTGAGCTTGTCCCACCAGATCAGTTCGGATCACTGTGTCCACAGCTGTCTGTCCCTGCTTAGCTCAGACTTTCAGTGAGCCAGGGACACTGCCCCAAGGGGACGAGTGCTCTCGACAGGGCTTCCAATGGGAAGCAGGAAGGGCAGGGAACATGCGGCCCACAGGAGCTCCTAGCTCCTTCCCAGAGCCCAGGACGGAAGGGGGCAGTGGCATTGCAAGGATCCAGTGCCACGGAGGGAGCCTCGAGCCCCTCTAGCCTCTAGCTGTGCAGCCCCGGGCTGAGATCTCCAAATTCTGTTAACATAGCTGGAGCATTTGGCTGGGCAGACGAGCATTCAGGGCAATTCCTTGGTTTCTCCTTGGTCACTGGTAGTTGGAAAAGTCGCACAGCACCTGAGACAGTTAACGTTAGGGACATAGGCAATGTCAGCAGCGCTTGAGCGAGACCAGTATGCCTGTTTTTTCTACAGAGTACAGTTGACCAAAAGCGTGCCAGCCATCATGAGAGCAATGGCTTTGCCGGTCGCATTCACCTCTTGCCAGATCTCTTACAGCAAAGCCATTCCTCCTCCACTTCCTCCACCTCCTCCTCCCCATCCTCCAGCCAGCCGACACCCACCATGTCCCCACAGACACCCCAGGACAAGCTCACTGCTAACGAGGTATGTCTCGCACCACAGCTGGCTGCTTTCCTGGGTTAGAGCAGTTGCACAGGAGGTTTTGCAGTGCCTAGCACCTGCCTGCTTCTTTCCCCTCCCCCCAGTAACATGTTTCAGACCTGCAGACAAACCCTTAACCCTGGAGCCATTCCCCAGACCTGCTGTCCCCGTGTTCCTCTCTAGATGAGTGTAGCTGCATGGCTTTCCAAGTTCAGTGATTGCTGTGTTCTCAGACTCATCATGTATTTGGCATGAAATTCTTGCCGTCATTGTGGAATCTGCCTCCTGTTCATTCTTTTTATCCAGTAAATACAGGATAGGAATATTTTGCTAAGTGGATGTCACGTTTACCCCCACAAGCTCCTTGTCCTCTACAGGAATTGTCTTCAAACTAGGCTTGGATTTTTTTGCATTTTTTTTCTTGTTTTCTTTTCTTCTGCAGTGGTTCTTGGTTGTTTACTCTTACTTTCCCCAGCCCCTTTAAAAGGATGTATTTTCTTGAAGCTCCCAGTCACGCAGTTTAGGTGGAAGTGAGTGCTTTGGGGAATGCAGGCAGGCAGGAGCGAGGATGAGGAGTGCACGTGCTCTGACTTGCAGGCGTTAAACCTCTTCTTGTATTTACGAGAGATGCCGTGTGTTGGTGGCGAGGCCATGCTGCTGCTTGGGTGTGAGCTGGGCAGTGCCCAAGGCCCTGCTCGCCAGTGGAAGAAGGGCCTGGGCCTCCTATGCATGTAGCCAAAAGTTGGGGAGGTTGAGGCTGACCTAGCCTCAGCCAGTTCTAATGCACTGAACTGAACTGAGGGCCACTCCTGCCGGTCCCCTCGTTAGAGAGAATCAGGAAACTGCCGCACTTGAGCTGCAGGAGTGGGCCAGCTGATCCCTGGCCGTGGGCGCAGGGAAGAGCCGCGAGTGCTTGGAGGGGTCGGGGGCTGGGCTGGGGGCCGAGAGGGGTGGGACAGTCCAGGCACAGGCTCTGCTTCAGGCCTGCTCTTCCTGCCGAGATGCTGTGTGCCCTGCTGCACTCGGCCTTCGCCTTCTGCTCTGCCTGCACTTGGCTTCATCTTCCTGTAGTTTACTGTAACCCCTAACTCACTAAACTGGCAAGTTTTGTTTTGTTTTTAATCATCATTACATTTCCACTTAACGATTTGTTTTGCTTTCCTTGTTTTTTAAAGTTACATTATTAACCAGAACACAGTGCTCTCAAAGATTGTGCGGTCGGCCTTGTGCTGTGCTTTGCGCCTCTCACTGCTGAGCCCCTGTTTGCTGTGGGTTTGAGGTGTCATGTTAAGACAGTGACAGCCACAGCTCCCATGCTTCCTAACAAAGGCTCAATTTCAATGAATAAAGTGCAGATTTGCAGCAGCTATTCTAGCATAGTCATCGGGCTATGGAGCTGGGAAGTATATTCACAAACCAGTGAAGTGAGACCACGACATTGCATACGTCCTTTAGGAGTTTGCAGTGGTTAATTAATACACAGCTAGAAGCCTGACGTGTAGATATTCTGTGGCAGCCTGTGGGTCACTTTCCTAGATTTGCATCTCTCTTAAGAGGTGTGGCTCTTTGGGCATCGGGGGAGTGGCCTGCGGGGTGCTCTGTGCCGCCGTGGGGGCTCCCTGCCATGTTCCTGGGGACCCAGCAGAAAGGCCCGGGTGTGGGTTGGGAGCTAGTGCAGTAAGCAGTGGGTTGCAATGTTCTTTGCATGTTCATTCTGGAAATGCTGTTTGTATTAATGAAATTGAAATTTACATTGCAGACTCAGTCCGCTAGTAGCACACTCCAGAAACACAAATCTTCCTCCTCCTTTACACCTTTTATAGACCCCAGATTACTACAGATTTCTCCATCTAGCGGGACAACAGTCACTTCTGTGGGTGAGTACAGTCAAGACAGGAAGGAGCCAACTCCAGGGCAGGGTCCCTTTGCACTGTTCCTTATGGCCCAGCATGGCACCGGAGTGTCACAGGCCAGGCCTGGGGGCAGAGCTGTCTGGGAAGTGAGTGGCACAGTCCGTCTCCCCTTTCCATGTGTGCTGCTTGCACAGTATCTCCTCGATGGCGTCAGTTGCGGGATGTGGACGTGTCCTTGAGTGTCGTGGCGGGGGGCGGGGTCCAGGCGTGGTGTGTGTGTACATGTATGTGTGCACAGTGATGACCTCTCTCCCATATCCTGTGTTGCAGTGGGATTTTCCTGCGATGGAATGAGACCGGAAGCCATAAGGCAGGATCCCACCCGGAAAGGCTCAGTGGTCAATGTGAACCCCACCAACACTAGGCCGCAGAGTGACACCCCTGAGATTCGTAAATACAAGAAGAGGTTTAACTCAGAGATCCTGTGTGCTGCCTTGTGGGGTAGGTGTCCTGCTGCCGCACTCCCGTCTGTTCCAGGGGCCGGTGGTCCTCTGGAGGGTCGCCACTCTGTGTGACACCACCTCCTGAGGCTCAGCGGTGCAGCCCGCTGCCGGATGGAAGGACTTGAGGTTGCCCTTGTCCCCATTGTCTGTGACTCGGGCCAGACGTCTAAAGGCAGCTGCCCTGGCCACCTCTGTGGGGGATTTGGAGCTGCTTCTGCTGAGGCTGAGCAGCCTCTGCCCTGGGACCCTGGAGGGGGAGCAGGATGGGAGCTGCTGTCCAGGTGGCCCCTGCCTCCAGCTCTGAAACGGGCCTTTCTGCTGCTCTTCCTTACCCATCTTCAGTGCCCCTTAAATAGCCCTGCCTGCCATGAACTGTTTTGTAGCATGGACCCAGCTTCTCCCTGGGTACTTGGGGAATGATGGGCTCGGTACATTCTAGAGGAATTGAGGAAGAACTAGAAATGATGGGCTGTAAGGCCATCCGAGAGGCCTCCTTTCTCATACCTGCACAGTGGTATCCCCGTCCAACTGGTGTGGACACTTGCACCTCTCTGACTCCTCTTCCGTGCATCCCCCTCCAGGTGAGGGGAGGAGCTGCCCTCTTCTCAGTGACCAGCCCACCAAGGGGACCTGACATGTGGCCTTTCTGTATCCTCGATGCAGGGGTGAATCTGCTCGTGGGCACAGAGAGTGGCCTAATGCTGCTGGACCGAAGTGGCCAGGGGAAAGTGTACCCTCTGATCAACAGGAGGCGCTTTCAGCAGATGGACGTGCTCGAGGGCTTGAATGTCTTGGTGACAATATCCGGTAGGTGCTGTGACCCTGTTGACAGCTTTGCATACTGATAGCTGTATGAATTATATCTGTCTATAGTTGTAATACGCACTCATTATTGCTGGCCCTCTTCATGTATCTGTCATAATTTGTCTGGTTTGTTTCTCTTTCTATTGGGTGCGTAAGCGTTCATTACACAGTCTCAGTGTGAATGCTTGCCAGCTGTGAGTTTGTGCCTTGCCTTTCCCCGCTGTGGTCCCTGAAGTTGGGGAGTGCTTTGACCCTGCGCTCCTCTGTCCTAGGGGAGAGCACACCTGCTCTAGAGTTCTGAGAGTCGTGTGGTAGAGTCACATGATAATACTTCATCAGCTTTTTCGGTTTTGCCGTTGTATAGGAGCTATTTAAGCAAACACAGAAAGAAAAAAAAAACCTTTCGTTTTTCCTGTATTTTTACCCAATGACAATCAAAGTGTAAGACTCTGTGGCCTCCGCTGGAGCAAGCAGTTCATTCTGCAGTGTAGACACATGCCTTGACCTCCTCTGCCATCTGCCAGTCCAGCCAGGCCCTGGCTTTGCAGCTCTGAGGATGGCCTCCTGCTGTGAACATGAGGGATGGTCACTGGCCTGGCCAGCAGTGGAGGATTTAGCTCCGGCCCCTCTGTACTCCCTAGAGGTTGGATGTGGGGCCCATCCTGGAGCCGCTAAGGGGTTTCTGCTGAGCAGCCTATCCTGGAGCTGCTGCGGGTGCTGCCAGCCACAGTCAGCCCCGAGGTCACTTGCTGGCATGGAAAGAGTCACCGGCTATGGAGAGCCTAGGACTCGGGGACGGTACTGATTTCACAGCATCACTCTGGCTCACTGACACAGTTTGCATGCACAGGTGTAGTCCTGTGATTTTCAGCCCGTCTTGGAAGGCAGGCTTCTCCCGTGGATGGTTCTGCAGGGGTTTCCAAGACTCATCCAAGTAGCTTATACTGCATCAGAAAAATTTGATACAAAATCCTTTCCCCAGGGGACATGGCAGTTACTGGTTATTGAAATTTCTTTTAGTCACTGTTACTCGTGATGATGGCTGTTATAAGTACCTTCCTAAAATACAGACGTCTATTTTGCAGGTAAAAAGGATAAGTTACGTGTCTACTATTTGTCCTGGTTAAGAAATAAAATACTTCACAATGACCCAGAAGTCGAGAAGAAGCAAGGCTGGACCACTGTGGGTGACCTGGAGGGCTGTGTCCACTATAAAGTCGGTGAGTTGGGGGTGGCAGGGTTTGGTGCAGAGCGCGAGTGTCATGGTCCGTGTCCCTGAAGGTGTGGCCCCTTCTGCACTGCCTGTTTCTGGGGTCTCTTGATCCTGGCACCTTCTCCTGACACTGTCACCCACAAGCGCACAGAGCTGGTACTGCTGTGCTCTCCGTCTGCGGCCACTTCCTCAGGATCCGTGCTGGGTTTCTAGGTCTGCTGTTGTGGAAGCCTTGCTGGTGACGAGCTACTGGCTCGGTGTCACCTTCCACCCGCTTAGCCTCTCAGTACAGCACAAAGGTCCTGGGCAGCCTTCACCGGGTCTTTGGGAGTGCAGCCTGCTGCACTCCTGCTGTGGCTTCTAACTAGGTGCACTATGCTGTCTGCTGGGTCACTGGCCGGCCAGGTGGTGTCCCCTCAGTGTGCACATGGCGTTCCCCTCAACAGAGATGGCACCGGAGTGAACCCAGTTCACTCATCAGTAGGAAAAGAATAAAAATACTGGTGCAGAAATAGCAGGAAGTGACGGCACAGAAGGAAGCAGGGCTTAGAGGATGGCACGGTATCATTGGGCCAGGACAGCAGGACTCCTGAGGCCTCATGGGGCGCTGCTGTCTGGCCGCATGTGGGCTTGGTGTTTCCTGCATTTGCTTGTAGGAGGATATACAGTAGACGGCTACTCTGTGGTTACTTGTGGCCCTTCACTGTCTTCCCTATGAGTAATCTGTCTGCAGACCCTGTCTCTGGTTACTTGTGATTACAGGGGCTGCTGCAGAACTCGGGTGATTCCCAGTGGGAACTACAGTACAGTACTGTTTCTCCTGTATAATTTTGACATTAGCATTTTCTGAGTTGTGTTCATGAGAAATGCTTTCATTTGTCAAACTAGAACTGAAATTGTCTCTGGCTGAGCGCTTCGAGCATTTCAGAGCAGCTCAATCCTGCATTCAGGTTTTCTGCAGGGCATGCTGTGGCCCATGGCTTCAGAGCATGCAGGGCTCTTCCAGCGGCTGCTCATGCAGAGCGAGAACTCGGTATTTTCTTGAGGGAAGTGTGCATACCTCCACTTACTGTCTGTGTAGTGCCTCCTCCGGCAGCAGAGGGGTAGAGTTCACCATGTCAGTTGAAACTAAGTGACCTTTCACGGTCAGCCGCTTGGTGGCTGGGGTGCATGGCCAGAAAACAATCACTAGGAAACTTGAGTTGGGCACCCTCTGCTAGTCCTGTGTGAATTGGTGTCAGCAGTGTCCCGAATAGTGACACCGGATGGAATTTAACAGCCACTGAGTTAAACCCTCTCACGCACAGAGAACCTGGGCAGTAACTTGATGCTAAATAACTCCATAGAAGCCAGTGGCTCTGCAGAGTCTGGAGTCCCTTGTGGTCAGGGACACAGGTTCTTAGCAGGTTTCCTGAACCTGAGGGAACCAAAAGAGGGCTGAGATGGGGTGGGTTCTCCACATGGCTACAGGGCTGTGCACTTCTCCTGGTGCAGAACACTGGGAGTATCCCCGGGAGAAGGGGGGTGGTCACCATTGCCCCTTGGCCTGGACACGGATCCTCTGTTTGGTGCAACATGGCATGGCCTGCTTCACTTCTGGGTGGGTGTGAGCTCCTGGCTGCGGGGGAGGAGAGGGGTGTGGGACTACAGAGTTCCTGACCTCTCCAGGTGTGGTTTTGGATCCTATCACTGAAGCTTGGTGCTGGCTTCCTGGGAAGGGAGACGGAGCCTCTGAGGCTTTAGGGCGGGTGCCTGTGTGGACCTAGGAGATAAAATTCGACTGGGCGCCTAAGAGAGGGAGCAGCTCCTGTTTTCCTGGTGGTGTCTCAAGTTTTAGGCCTGAATCCTGTTGCACATGGAAGCAGAGAGAAGTGGGTGACCCACGATAAAACTGGAAAGAGAAGTGGGTGGTTTGGTCTCTGTACTACCTTTTCCCCTGCTGGTTCGGGTGAATCAATAGAAGGTGTATTTATAAAATTTGGAGATGACAGCTAAAGAATTTAAAGTCCCATGCTGATATTGACCTGTGTGTCTCCTGATTTATTTATTTATTTTTCTCTTTCAGTAAAATATGAAAGAATCAAGTTTCTGGTGATTGCTTTGAAGAGCTCCGTGGAAGTCTATGCATGGGCGCCGAAGCCGTATCACAAGTTCATGGCCTTCAAGGTAACAGCACTGCTGTTACCTTGCTGTTACCTGTGCCCAGAGGGGGGCAGGTGGGCGGAAGCTGTGCTTAGGTGGAACACACGAGAGACTGTCCTCGTGTGACGCAGTTGGCATGATCAGCGGTTTTCTGGGCTCCTAGACAACCCGCATGCTAAGGGGACATCGGGAGAGACAGACGGCGAACATTTCCATGCACCCCTCACAGCAGACCTCAGCGCGCCGTGGCACGCCCAGGCTGAGTCGGGGATCACAAGTTCAGGCCCAGCCTAGGCAGCTTAGTGACTAGTGAGACCCTGTCTCTAAATGAAAACCAGGACAGGGGTGTTGTTAAGGGTTCAACACCCAGTCCTGCAAAGATCTTTCTTAGTTAAAAAAAAAAAAAAAAAAAAAAATAGAAAGCAGACCTTCACTCAAAAAAAAAAGGTGTGTATAAAGATCTATGCATATCGCAGATGTGCTTTGGGTAAGGAGAGTATCCTAACAAGGCAGTCCTACGGGCATCTAGTCAGTGGAGTACTGATTTTAAAATCAGGGAGGTTGTTAATGAAACAAGCAACGTGTATTTACATTAAATGGAAATACAAAGTTAAAATATGCATAATTTGGTCTTATTTTTATATAAGTAAAAATCTATAGATGTAACATACAAACTAATGTTTGAAATGAGATGGTTTTGCCATTTGGCAGGTGCAGAGTTCCAGGAAAGTAAACAAATAGGGCTTTTAAGATTGGGACCACTGTCAGGCATGGTGGTTCACGCCCATTATCCCAGCACTCAGAGGCTGAGACAGGAGGATCGAAGTGAGTTTGAGATCAGCCTGGGCTACCAAGTGAGCTCAAGGCCAGCCTGGACTGCATAGTGAGACTATCTCAAAAAGACACCCCTACCCCACCCTCATAAAAGATGGGGCTACTTCTACTCGTTATGCTCCAGTGTCTCTGGGTACAGTGTCTCTCTGGTGCTACAGTTTCTAAGAGTTGTAGATAAGAAATATTTCACTATGCTTAATGGTCTTTAGCATACTATATTTAAATAAAGTTACTCTTTAAAAACAAAGACTATAGTATTAGCAGGCGTGGGCCAGGGATTCTGTGCAATGGCTTAAGCACTTGCCTAGTGAGTGCGAGGTCATTAGTTCTATCCCCAGTACAAAAAAAAAAATCAGCAGTCATAGTCGCTGTGTATTTTTAATAGTTCTTTTATAACCTGGTGTATGCGGAGGCTGAGGCAGGAAGGTCACTATGACTTAGAGAGGCCATCCTGGCTATCTAGTGAGTTCAAGGCCAGCCTGAACTACATAACAAGGCCTTGTCTCAGACAACAGCAACAGCATTCTTTCATAATTTGAGTTTGTGAGAAGTACAATTTTATGAGTGTCTTGGTTAAAAGAGATACTCCTGACATTAGATAGAAATAAGTGAGTAACATCATTTCTAATGTTAGACTCACAACCCTGAGATTACCCAGGGCCCGGGTTAGTGTGGAGCTGCAGTTAACAATTATTCATGCCAGACAGAGTGAAAATAGTTCTGGTTTTTACTGGAAAGGTAAGTTTCCATTGCTTGGGAAGTTTAAAGCAGGATAAAACACTATAATTGTTAAATAAATAAATCCTGAACGCAGTCAGTCCTGGCATCACTGATGAAGGGGAATCGTTACACATGTAGACGTCCCCTGCTGCTGGGCCTGCCTGTCCTGTGCACACCAGGCCTCTGCAGAGCTGATGGCGGTGGATCAGTGCAGTTTCGTCACTGTCATCCTGGGGGAGCAGGAGCTGCAGCTGTGCAGGAGGTCCCAGCCTTGTGCCCTGCACCACAGCCCGTCACCAAAGCCGGGCTCCTCCTAGCTCACCCGGTGACAGGGTCAGCACTAGCCAGATTGGCAGGGTGACCTGCCCCCTTGTCCAGCACTGTGCTGCAGAGAGCCTGGACACACGACAGGACGGCAGGTGGCAGCATGGAACTCCTGGGCTAGTTGAGAGTCAGTGGTGGTTTTCAGAAGAGGTGCCTTCCTAGCAGGCGCTCGTCCTGAGCACACAGTAGGAGCACGCTGTGTGGCGCACAGGGCCTCCCACCAGTCACAAGGAGAGATCTGCTGTGCCTCATCTGCCCGTCTTCTCCCTGTAGTCCTTTGGAGAGCTGGTGCACAAGCCCTTGCTGGTGGACCTCACCGTGGAAGAGGGCCAGCGGCTGAAGGTGATCTATGGGTCCTGTGCGGGTTTCCACGCCGTGGATGTAGACTCAGGATCCGTGTACGACATTTATCTACCCACACACGTAAGAAAGAGCCCACACTCCATGGCTGGTTGACTGGCTTCACTTCTTTTTGCTGCTTCTCTGCTCTCTGTAGTGCACTAACTCCGTAGGGCTCTGTCACTTCCCCCGGGGAGGGCACGTGCATAAGCAGTAGGAGCTGGGGAGCCCAGTACCCAGTGCCCACTGCACTGGCCTTGGCACTCACTTGATTTGCAGGCCAGGCAGCTGATGCAGGCAGAGCACTGGGGGTGAGCGTGGTGCCCGGGTCCCCCCTGGTCCTCAGAGCGTCTCCCCCTGCTCTATCGCTGGGCCAGAAGGCGCCCCAAGCTACTGCCTGTGCCCTGTGCTCCTGCAGATCCAGTGCAGCATCAAGCCACATGCCATCATCATTCTGCCCAACACGGACGGCATGGAGCTGCTGGTGTGCTACGAGGATGAAGGCGTGTACGTGAACACGTATGGCAGGATCACCAAGGACGTGGTGCTGCAGTGGGGAGAGATGCCGACGTCTGTGGGTGCGGCTCCCGGGGAGGCAAGGGGGGTGGTTCGAATCCTCTTCTGGCTGCTTAGCTGAGCGGTGCGGAGACCCGGAAGGCTAGAGTGCCGGCCTGGTGGTGTCGTCACGTTTTCAAACACAGTAAAAGTGACTGCTGGCTTTCCGGAAGGTCTATCATAGTCCCTCACTTAATTCTGAAGCCCTCCGGGGAAATTAAGGACTCAGAGGAGAGGGGGAGGAAGGGCCAGGGGCGGCTTCGAGGGTGGTGGTCACAGCTGGGGACTCATGGGCAGTCTCCAGGTTCACACCCTGCACAGGGCTTGGTGGCAGAGGTCTCCAGGCTGCCATTCATTCGGTCTGGGCGACCTTTCCAGCCTGGTCCTGCCCGGGCCGGTGGAGCGGGCTCCACAGTCGGCCCTCAAGGTCGGTTCCGGGCGGCTCAGCCCCTGCTCCCCTCAGCAGTAGCCCAGTGGACGCGGGTGCGCGGCGCTGCCTTCCCTTTAATGCGCCGTCCTGTCTTCCTCTCCCAAAAGCCTACATCCGGTCCAATCAGACCATGGGCTGGGGTGAGAAGGCCATCGAGATCCGATCAGTGGAAACCGGCCACCTGGATGGCGTATTCATGCACAAGAGGGCGCAGAGACTCAAGTTCCTGTGCGAGCGCAATGACAAGGTACCTAGCGGCCAGGTCCTGCAGTGTGGCTGGGTCGGGAGCCCCGGGGGCGGAGACAGCACCCACTCACCCCGCCCTGTCGGCTCGTAGGTGTTCTTCGCCTCGGTGCGCTCGGGCGGCAGTAGTCAGGTCTACTTCATGACCCTGGGCAGGACGTCTCTGCTGAGCTGGTGAAGCGGCGCCAACCCTTGTGGGCCTGAGACTCGGAATTCCTGCAGCTGGAGCTCCCGCCGCTCGGCGCAGCCAGGGCAGCCGTGCGCGGGCCTCGCGCGCCTGCCATCCTGCCCGCGTGTCCTGGTCTCTTCTGCTCCTTCCTCGAAAGCAAACCCAGGCTGCGCAGCCGCTGGTGCTTCCCAGCTCTCCCACCGGTGCTAGGAGCCAGGCAGGCCGCCAGGACTGCGGCCTGTGGGTGTCCCGGTGGCGGGCGAGGCACCGGAATGCGGGGCGTGAGGAGCAGTTTGCTGGAGCAAAGAGCAGGTTTAATATAGTAACATTAACAATGTATTTAATTGACATTTCTTTTTGTAATGTGACAATATGTGGACAGAGAGGAAGGTGCAGGTTTAAGAAGTTAATATTTATAAAATGTGAAAGACAGTCACTAGGATAACTTTTTTGTGGATGGGTTTGTGGGTGGGGTGGGCTGAGGTTCCCGTTTTGTTTCTTTGGATTTGGGGGTGGTCCTGGCCAAGAACTCAGTCATTTTTCTGTGTACCAAGTTTTGCCTAACTCATGTGCAGGTGATTCTAAAAAAAGAAAAAAAGGAAAAAAAAGGATGAAGAGAAGTGTGCATTTTGTACAATGGCCAGAACTTCGTTGTGTGACAGTATTAGCACTGCCTCAGTCACAGGTTTAATTTTTGTTTAAACCTAGAAGTGCAACAACAGTTTCACCACAGTCTGCATCTGCAGAAAAACAAAAAAATTCAACCTACTTTTTTTTTTTTTTTGCCTACCTCATTGTTTTTAATGCATTGAGAGGTGACTTAGTTTATGTTTTTGGAAGAAAACATTAATGTTTAATTTAATCTTTATACCAAACCATCGGATTGGAGTTCGGTTGTCACTTGTCACAAGTCACGCAGGCACAGGTGACGCTGTCCCCAACATAGCCAGCCCGGCCCGTTTGCCCCCTTGTCTCGGCCGTCCTGGTTCCCAGAGCAGTTGGTGGGCAGTTGTCACCTGCAGCACAAACACTGCCTCGTTCTGTCAATTGGGGTCAGTAGCAGACAGAGGTGGTCCCGTTCGGATAGTCACACAAACTGCGGTGTTGCAGGAATCTTTTCTTGGGGTGAGGGGTATATCCCTTTTCTAAAAATGCAATGCACTAAAACTATTTTAAGAATGTAGTTAATTCTACTTATTCATACAGATGGCATCTTCCTGTGTTTAGGTGTACTATCGAAGCCCTGGCTTTCCTTGTTTTCTCACTTGCTCTGTTTTTTTAAACTAATTTTACTTTATGAATATGTTGGTGACATTTGTAATAAATGTCTTGAGTAATAACTGGCTTCCAGTCTTGTGCTGTCACTCAACCCTGGGACAGGTGTCATCTGGCATTCTGGTCTTGCCTTCATCCTCCTCCTAGGGTAGTGGGGCAGGTGCGTGGCCTCTCCCCTTCTGTGGTCAGCTTCCATAATGGAGAGACCCGCTGCCTCCCTGCCTCTCGGAGCACAGCCCACTGCAGCCAGCATGCACACCAGCGATGCAGGGCTTGCTCTCCAGGAGGGATGCAAGGCAAAGTAGTTTTCCACTGTGACTGGGGAGCAGGGCCAGTGGCCTGGGTGGAAGGGAGCACTCTTGTATGCCAGGTTGTATGCCAGGGATACACTCTTGTATCCCTGGAGTTGGAGAGTCACTGTCCCTTGAGAAAGGGCCTTGAGACCCCATACCCCCATTGAAGGACCTTGGACAGGGCCACCCACCTCAATGTCTCACCCACAATTGGAGAAGGCCCCTGAGCATTGTCCCTGGAGGAGCATCAGCTCAGGGCACCCCTGCCCTGGCCCCAGGCCCTGCCAGAGGTGGGCAAATGTCCTGAAAGCCCAGGACTGACACCAGGACACCTCAAGTAACTAGGTCGTGGCATCGCATGACATTGCATTTTCCGTAGCCATGGGCCAGAGCCTGGGAGACCAGTGAGTGGTGTGTGCAGGCCCTGTGGGCATCACCTGCGGGGAGAGGTCTGCTCAAGTCCCCCATGCTTCAGTCCCAAACCACGCCCTCTTGCTGTCCTCCTCGAGGCCAGCCCTAGCTCTCGCTCCCTGAAGTTCTGTCTTGGGGCCCCCAGTGAGCTGACAGTTTGGGGTACGGACCCGGGGCAGTTTCTCGTAAAAAATTGTGCGCTGAGGAAATTGTGGGCTCCTCCAGGGCAGGGCAGGTGTGATTGGGATTGTCTCCCTCCCTTGGGACGGTGCTCTCCCCCCAGCAGTGCCAGCATGGCAATGCTGCCCACACCGCTGCCTGCCGGGCCAAGCCCTGCTTGTCTCCAGCCGGAGCCGCAGGCGCCTGGGTCGAGCAGGGTTTCTGCGTTTCTTTATGCGTGTTCCGTATTGGAGAACATGTGTCCAAAGGCGGTTTTGTTGCACAGATGCACACCGAATATTTATGATTTTCATGGGCGTTTAGGACCTGGCCTTCATTGTAGCACAGGTATGGTGTGCTGTAGTCCCACTGCTGCCTGTCACAAACCTGTGAATTAGTGCTGCCAGGGACCGAGCACCTGAGTGTGCCAACCCTGTGCTGCAGAGGACCAGGGCCGGAATGTGGCCTGTCTGCAGTGCTGACTAGTCTGTTGTGCATAATGTAAGTCACTGTCACCTCTCCCCTTTAATAAAGATGAGACCCATTTTGTGCAGTGCCTTCCAGGTATGTTCTGAGCCTCCTAGGCCCCTTGTCATGTGAGCCCCTACTTTTACAGGCCTCCTCCCCTCGGCCCCTGCCAGGCTACAGTGGGCTCCCTCGGTCCCCGGGGTGATCCTGAAGCCGAGGGAGTAAAGCTGGCCCTTACAGATGGGAGGCCTGGAGTCTGCAGGGGGAATTGGGTCAGAAGATGACATGGCACAGTGCAGGCACGGAACAGCCCTTCTTTGGTGTGGTGTGGGCCACTGACTTGGACTCACTGTGGCAGGCAGGGCCGGCCGATGGATGTCATCAGACCCCAGACTCGCCCCTCCCTCAGTGCCCCACCTCACTCCCATGGAAACCTCCTTTCCCCAGGTGAAATAAAACTGCCAAGGCAGAGGCTGCCAGACGTGCCAGGTGTGTTTGTCCTCCTACCTGACACATGTTGGAGCTGGCAGATGTTTGGAGATAAAACTCTGGCAGAGGTTTTAGGGAGCAGTGTGGGTGACTCCTGTCGCTCCTTCGGCTGAGATTCCTGTAAAGGAAGCGGCCAGGGTCAGCAGCACCTGGTGCAGACTCCTGATTTGACCTCACATTCCAGGTGCGTGGAAACTGCTGCTTTCACCACGCGGGCACCTGGAAGCCTAATACTGCCCACACTTCACTTCAGGAGAAGTTGATGAAGCCTTTGAAAAGGTACAAAGGAGTTGAGAGCTGGGAAAGCTTTATTCCATGTTCTCAGGGAGAAGGGCCATGAGACCCAGGCCTAGTTTTAAAGTTGATGGTGATTTGTTCAACTCTCAAAGTCCCCAGCGCCCGCCTCGGCTTCTCAACCATCCTGTTCTGTCCTGTCCTGTCCCTTAGTGACCTGCGCAGTGGCAGCCTGAGCCCCGTTTCTGTTGGAATGCAGAGCTCATGTGCAGGCTGAGCTGGTTTCCCCTGCTTTGTGCTGAAATTTGCTTGCTGCTTCTGAGAAGAGCAGCTCTTTCCCACTACCACAGACGCTTGCATTGCCTAGTATTCTCCACTGGCCTGAGATAGGAGTAGTGCTTCTCCCGAAAGGAAACCTGACTCCCCAGGGCGGTGGCTGGTGCAGAAGTCCATGGTCTCCCCCTGTCCGAGGGGTGCCAGCACCACCCCCCCTGTATGACACACTGGCGCCCCAGGGTCACCTGTGTCACTGGATGGCAGCACTTGTGGTACGGTCTTAACTCCTGGCTCTGGAGAGTCCGCTCAGTGTCCTGGCTCCCAACCTGCGCAACCCTGGACCTCCTGCAGCCTGGGATCCGCTTCCTGTTGCGGGATCAGTGCCTCTGGACTTGTCATGGCCACACCACTCTGTGTGGCCTCCACGAATGGCTTCCTTCCCCAAGCCAGCACGTCCATCACAGCATGGGTCCGAGCTCCATTTCTGCTACTAGGCACCTGGTTCCCTCCACCCCCACCCTGCTGCCTCATCAAGCATTGAGACCCCAGCCCTCAGCAGAAGCTGGGCATTGACTCCCGTGCCCCACAGGAAGGGTGTATGGGGAAGAGGCCGACTTCCAGGTGAAGCTCCTGGAAACCCACAGCTCCACCTTCAGCCGGGCTCCAAGGGGGTCCTGTCCAGGGCTGGAAATAGCTGCAGGACTGCAGAGCTCCTGCTGGCCACAACTGGGCTGGGCTGGGCTTCTTGCCTGGAGTCCAAGGCGAGAGTTGAGGTGCCTGGGGTGACCCCTCAGCAGGCACCTCTGGCTTGTGGAGCAAGGTCTGGGCCACTACACGCAGCTGTCGTGTGGTCAAAACATATGGTGAGCGCTGCGGTGCATGCCGTGTGACAGGAAGGGAACAGGCGAGGACAGCAGCATCCTCCTATGCTGGGCCTGGCCCCGGGCCACCCTGGCTCATCCCCAAAGTCAAAATGGTGAGGAAAAGGTAAGTTACAAGGAGGCCACGGTGCATAGCTAAACAGGAAGGAAGGAGGACCTTCAGAGCTGCTGCAGAAGGCGCCAAGGACGACGGGGGGGGGGGGGGGCGGCGGCCAAGGCTGGGGAGACTCCAAGCGGGTCAGTAGCAGTGCCCTCCTGGGCCTCTTTGCTGTACATTTGGGACGTGGACCGCAGGTTTTCACCCACCTGGGTACCCTGTGCCTGGCCCCGGCCTCCGTGACAGGGTATGAGGTTGAGTAAGGGTGGAAGCAGACTTCTGAGAACTTGGGTCAGACCACTGAACAAGGGCTGTGTGATGAGCTGGGGCAGAGACAGTGGTCCCTGGGCCTGCAAGACGGAGGCTCAAAGAGACTTGGGGTGCATGGCCCGTGCTCCAGTTGAAGCAGGGCTCCCTCCCATCATGCAGCTCACGAGAGAGACACAGACCTTTTAGGAAGCACAGCACAGCTGCCAGCGGAGCCAGTACGGTCCCCGGGCTGGGAGGTCCTCCAGAGACCCTGGCCCAGGCGTCTGCAGCCTTGCTACAGGGTGGTAGCCCTGCTTGAAGGTCCGGATGAAGCCCGGTGAAGGGGCTGGCAGGAGTCATTAGTAAACGAGCACCTGAACCCTGTCCGCTCCGTCCTCTACCTTGGGGTGGTGACCGTGACAATCAGGACAGCCAGCAAGAGCACTGTGTACTTGTATTCTTGAGTGCTGCATGGACTAGATAAATACGAGCTCCTAGCCTGGAGGACAGGAGACCCAGGGTCCCCTTTGTTTGCTGGAGGGACCCCAAATGCAGGGGTTGAGTAGAAAGGGACAGGTCAGGATGAAAGGGGCTGTCAGAGTTTGGAGGATGAGGCCGGCAGCTCCAGGGATGGCTGGCCCATGGAGCTGGGAGCATGAGGGGATGCAAAGCCCCAAGCCCCCTTTATCCTGCAGGTGACCTGGCACAGCTTCAGAGGGCAAGTTTTGGTGGCTCCTGGACCCGTGGTGGTCACCTCCCCCAGCTTCCCGCAGCACAGTGGACTCTGCCCCCATCCGACCCACAGCACAGCCAGCTTCCGGTGAACCCTACAGCAGTCACCTGGGACCCAGCACAGGGAACACATGCCCTGCAGGGTCCAAACTCGGGGCCCCAGAGCTGTGACTGTGTATTCCCAGGCTGCTCTTCAGGCTGCCTTCCTCCTCATGTGTGGGATGCCAGCATGGAAAATGGATAACAGAGGAGCTGCTGTGGAGTCCCAGTTCAAATTTGTAATCCCAGCACTCGGGAGGCTGAGACAGGAGAAGTGCAGCAAATTTGAGGCCAGCAGGGGCTGTATAGCGAGACCCTATGTCAGAAAGCAAAATAAAACAACCAAATATATAATTGTTTTAAAGCCAGCCAGTGAGTACTGAGTCTTCTTGCTGGTGATGTTATTAATATCTGTCAATATCAGTAGCGAATTTATTTTCACTTTTAGTCTCTGAACTGTCCATCTCGCAAGACAAGAAGCTAGAAAAGTGGATGAAATCTGCCATGGCACATGTCTGTAATCACAAGGACTCAGGAGGCTGAGGCAGGAAGATTGCGAGCCTGGGGGTTTAGACTTCTCTCAGACTTTAAAAGGGGCTGGGCCTATAACTCACCCTCCTGTATTAGGTGGTGGTGGGTATGGCGTCTCAGGACTGGAGGGGAAATCAAAACCATCTGTGGAGTCTGCTATACAGGAGACACTTCTGAGATCTGCACGGAGATGAATTGAGTGACAA